ACACCCGGACCCGGAGCGAATGACCAACACTCTCGCTAACGAATCTCTGCAGAACTCTGCGTGGAGCACCATCTTTGGTATTCTCAAGGACAGCGCAGAGCCCGAGGCCCAGCTCTTTGCGGCCATTACGTTGCGCGGAAAGGTAGATAGGTGCGGCAGTACTTGATGCGACAGCGAGCTCACCATGGCGTTTTCCAGATCACCTACGACCTTTCGACGCAGGTCCCAGAAGCCGAACTCCCTGCGTTGCGGGATCAAATCCTTCTCCTCCTCAAAGGCTTCGCCGCCGGCCCCAAGCCGATACGAGTCCAGCTTTGCGTCTGTCTGGCAACACTAGCGGTGCAGATGACGGCCTGGAAGGACGTCCTTCCCACGGTGGTCTCGTCGCTCGGTGACAGCGTCGAGAGCCATGCAGCCATCCTCGACTTCCTGCGCGTGCTGCCCGAGGAGGTGACCGAAGGCCGCAAAATCACCTTAACTGTATGTGGATCACGGAAACATCGAACGGCCTCTCACTTCCCGCGACGTGGTTTTACCGGGCCGATTTCAACAAGGATCAGAGTCTAATTGGCAATGATAGGAAGAAGAGCTTTCCGAGCGGACTAAGGAATTGCTGGGTGACAATACGGATCAGGTCGTGCAGTTGCTCATCAACTACTCACAATCTTCTGGTACTATACACCCCCCTACGAGCCCCATTTGCGGTCAAAGCTGACTCTTTCATGTAGCATCCGCCGCTCAAAACCCGCAGCTGATGGAGTGCATCACATCGTGGCTGCGCGAAGTTCCCGTCAGCACCGTCGTCAACTCCCCCCTCCTCGACGTCATCTTCAACGGTGTGGGCAATGATTCGGCTTCGCAGGAGGCAGCGGAATGCTTGTGCACAGTCTTTAGAGAAACGCGGGATGTGGATGATAACTTGGAGACGATCCAGATTCTGCTCCCGCGCGTTATTGCTTTGCGTCAAAGAATCGCCGTGGTTGTCGAAGAGGAGGACACCGAGGTTTACAAGTCTCTGACCAAGATCTTCGCCTTGGCAGCAGAGGCCTGGGTTGTGGCGATTGCCCGTGAGCCCGGCCATTTCAGGCCCCTCGTAGACGCTGTTCTCGAGTGCGCTGCCAGAGACAAGGACCGCGATGTTATTGAGCACACATTCCAGTTCTGGTACGAGCTGAAGCAGTACATCGTCCTGGAGCGCTACATTCAGGCTAGACTGGAGCTTGTGGACATTTACTCGAAGCTGGTCGACATCTTGCTCACACACCTGCGATACCCGCAGTCTGAGTCTGCGAGCGAGACGGATCTCTTCGACGGCGACCGCGAGGCCGAGGAGAAGTTCCGCGAGTTCAGACACCAGATGGGCGACACTCTCAAGGACTCTTGCGAAGTCATGGGAGTGACGGACTGCCTCACAAAGGTGCTCGAGGCCATCAAGATTTGGATGCATAGCTATGCTGGACAGGCAACGGCGACCTCGGTCCCTCACTGGCAAGAGCTGGAGGCACCTCTGTTCGCTATGCGTGCCATGGGACAGATGGTTGACAAGGAAGAGAGCATTGTCTTGCCTCAACTAATGCCTCTTCTCGTCCAGATTCCCAGTCACGAGAAGCTCCGTTTCGCCACAATCATGGTGTTGGGTCGCTACACCGAATGGACTGCAGCCCACCCCGAGTACCTGGAGCCGCAGTTCAACTACATTGTGACGTCTTTCCAGACGGATTCAAAGGAAGTTGTCAGAGCCGCGGCCATGGCCATCAAGTACTTCTGCACCGACTGCAAGCAGCTCCTGAGCGGCCAAGTGATCCAAATGCAAGAGTTCTACGACCAGATTCTCGACAAGCTGCCCGATCAGAGCCAGGAAGAGATCACAGAGGGTGTTGCCAGCGTTGTTGCTGTGCAGCCGCCCACCGAGATCTACAAGTTGCTCAAACTGTACTGCGACCCATTGGTGCAGCGGCTGATGAACAAGGCCAACCTTGCAACCGACGACAAGGGCAAACTGGCGCTCGCAGGTAGGTTTCATGAGTACATGCGCAAAGATACACGGCTAACCAAACCTCTAGACCATCTCCAGCTCATTACCATCTTCATTCAGATCGTTGTGCCCTACGTGGGACCTGGCGAGGAGAACCCGGCTGTCAAGTACTGGCAGGAGGTCTTCCCCGTGCTGGCAACCATCTTGGACAACTTCATGGGCTTCGTTCCGATTTGCGAAAGGATCTGCCGCTGCTGGCGAAACATGATCATCTCCTACCGCACCGCCATGACACCCCTGCTGCCGGAGATGGCCAACAAGCTGGCCGGCGGCTTCGCTGCGTCAAGGCAAGGCGCGTTCCTCTGGGTCACAGCCGCCATCCTGCGCGAGTTCTCTGAAGATCGGGAGCACGTCAACCAAGAGATTACGCAGAGTATCTATGCCTTCTTCGAGGCACAGACCACGACATTCCTGCGCGTCATGAGCGAGTTGCAGCCGAGCGAGCTGCCCGACGTCATTGAGGACTTCTTCAGACTCCTGATTGACGCGCTTCTCTACTACCCCGGCAGGATCGTTCCGTCGGAGCTCCTGGGGCCCATCTTTGAGGCTGCCATTTACGCTCTGACTTTGGAGCAGCGCGATCCGCTCTCGGCGACGCTCCACTTCCTCCGTGACCTTCTCACGTACGGAGGTGATAACCCTGCGACGTCTGATGTCCTGCCGCCGGACGTGGCTGCTCAGATCCGTGAGGTGGTGAGCAAACTTCTTGCCACGCATGGCGAGAAGCTGGTCAAGCAGGTCATGGCCGGAATGATGATTACGTTCCCTCGGGATTGCTTCGCTGACGGTAGTGGTGTCTTGCTGGCCATGTTCGAGCTCTTCCCCGCCCAAACGACGACTTGGGTTGAGAACACTATCCAGCTCCTGCCTCCGGGTACCATCACACCCGCCGAGGCCAACCGACTCATGGCCAAGATCAAAGAGCGTCTCAGCGGCAACGATCCCACCGCCATCAGACAGGTGAGGGCGCTGTTGCAAGACTTCACCAACACATATCGTCGGCGCTACGTGGCTCCGCGTGAGGGTCTCGGTCAGCTGGAGGCAGCTCGCTTCCACTTCACTGGTTAAGGATGGAATTTTGATGGAGGAGGGTTTTATAAGGGTCACGACTGCCCCGAGTGCCGTTGAGAGCAGCTTTAGGGGACCGGGTTGGGGCGATGTGTTGCCCATCAAGGGGGCCTAGGGATTATTAGGGATTATGATCATGGGAGATGGAACATGGAGACGTGGAAATGGAGAGCTTCCGCTAGGCCTGACTGGACGCGGATAGCATTAGGGCGATTGGCACCTAGGCTCCAGGATTATCCGTTCTTGTCCTGCGGCCGAGGCAGGGAGAGGAAGACAGGCAAAGGGCATTTCGAAGCCTACTTAGAGGCAACGAGTGAGGGAGCGGGAGGAGTCGGGTCACGAGTGCGGTGCAGTTGTTGGGGACGCACCTCGTTCTCTGCAGAGTAGAGACAAAGATGATAGACCGAGATTTGTGAGCATACATGGCTAAACATGTTTGGGGCGGCAAAGAGCGATGGCCTTTCACAGAACGACTGACAGGGGCGCATTGCCTGGTTAGAAAATCAAAAGTTTCAAATGCACGTCTTTACCTGTCTTGATGACCATGCAACTCATGGTGATGATGGCTTGAATGAGCACAAAGAACTCGAAATCACGAGCTTCAGGATGGGCTCAGTTCAAGTATTATCTTGTGACCGGTAGATAAGGGTTTCCAAAGGTAAACTTGTGTCTTGACATAGTCGATAACGTATTCATTAAACCAGTCCAGTAAGCTTCATTGAAACACTCTCCTCTAGACTGCCTTGACTACACTTTAGTAAATGAAGTCATACAGAGAGGGAGAACCATTGTGTAAGTCGCTAGGGACGGTCTTAAAGACACACCCTGGCTGGCGAGCACAGAACCCCTGCAGGTGGCCCGGGCTTAGCATACACTAAACACTATTGGACACAGCTTAATGACCCAACGCAAGCACCGCGACTTGGACCTACTCGACGCGACAACGGCCAAAAAAAAGTAAGAGCAAGAGATGTCTCGTCATGATTGCTTCCCGACCTCTCTCTCTCTGAACCACCTTAGTTTCCACGTCGCCCTTTCCGTTTGCTCTTAAGCAGTTGAACGAGCACTGGCCCAACGCCAGGTCGCGATACGAGGTGAACAGCTCTCACCTAGCTCGAGGCAACTGCCTTCTTTACCCGACACCCTATACCGAATCACGACGGCACACTGCGACTTCTTATTGCCTCTCCCACCAACCCCCTGCATCCGATCGCCCTCTTGCGAAGCTTTGACACGAAAGCAAAGTATTCAGACGAAAGCTCACAGATCAAAGGCACCACTCCCCGCCGCAAACATGCCTCCGAGCAGTGGCACAAACCGAATGGCCCAGTACGCCAGGAATGCGTCCATAGACTCGGGCCTTCCAAACGGAAGCAACAACCAGACAGACCAACTGCCCCCCGGGGCAACTGGCTTCCCTACTCGACAGACCATCACCGAGTCTGCGAGGCTACCTGCCCCCAAGCCTCTCGCGTCTGCCATACCCCTGGCGTCCCACATCCGGCAGCTTGAGCCTGGCCTTGCTCAGCCTCAATCCGCGCCGCCCATGCATCCTCGCCAGCCTTTGCCCGATAGCTCCCCGCCTCCACCGCAACGAAAGCGATCCAACTCGCAGAGCAGCGATGGGCCTGGTTTCTGGCCCCAGTCACACATAGATAGTCAGTTTGGCTCGCCCACCACCCAACGCACCGAGCGATACGACACCGGCATCGACGACCGCCTTGGTGCGCTGCCGCACTCGCTGCAACCCGCTGCTGAAGTGCCTGCGATGCCCAAGTTTGAGGATACCCATCAGCCAATGGGAAACAACGGGATGCCGAGCTTCATCATTGGCAAGGACGGCTCCATGAGAGTTATGCCGAAAAACCAACATGCCCTACCTATTACACACGGCGGCATGGTCCACTCGCGAGAGCAGCAGCTTGAGCACGATGAATACTCGAGCGAACCTCTCTACAATGACCATCGCTCTCCGCAGCGGCAGACAAGGATTGCCATCCACCCCACGGCCGTGAAGCGACCGTACGGACCCCCGGTCTTTGAGGATGACGAGGAAGTCTTCTCCGACGCTCCAATCCGTAAAGCTCCACAGCCTCAGCAAAACCTGAGGCGTGTTGTTAGAAGAGACAGGCCTCTCGAGTCCCGGCGAGCCGAACTATTTCCAGAGGAAGAAGATGTCGACGGCAGCCTGGCCAGTGACTATCCTGCTACAGAGGACGATCACGGCACTCCCCGGGCTAGTCGTAAGAAGAGTATGCCAACGGAGGTGCCTCCCCTCGAAGGCCCACTTCCGATTGCGGCCCGCGGCCAGCGCGACAAATCACGGAAGCGACGTCGTGACAAGTGTGACTACGGAGATGAAGAGCTTCAGAGGATGACATACTCCCAACTACGCGAGCAACCCTTTGACGAAGATCCTGCCAAGACATCCCTCCCGACGGCCACGCCTTTGAATGGTGACAGTCTTTCGGTCAAGCTCGAACATTTCAAGGGCCAGCGCGAATCCGACCAGAAAACCTTCTTTAGTCAGATGAGTGTTAGCGACTGGGAACGGTCCGGCGACTGGTTCCTGGACCAGTTTGGGGCTGTTGCAAAGAAACTGAAAGAGGCCCGCAAGGAGAAGCGAGACATGGTTGATCGCTTCGAGACCGAGATTGCCAAGAGGGAGGAGGCAGTTCGCGTCCGGACTGAGAACATTACGAAGAAGCTGAGCAAGATCCGCCACAAGGGCGAAGACATGTTGGCAGACAAGGAGGTTTGACGGCATCCTGCAGAGTATCGTCACAAGGCCCCATGCATCATTTAATCGAGGTGACGGGATGTCGGGTGCAGGCCAAAAGGCGTTGGGATGTGTAGCGAATTTTGATGACATTTTATGGCTAATGATTAATGGCTATCATGACTGGCGTATTGGGGCGGTTTGTTTGTATCATATTTCCGCCGTTGACACAGGTGGACTCTGCTTTATCGATAGACTGTCCTCACAGAACAAATGATTTCTTGACCGATCTATCTTTACGAACGACCAGTCTCATTTGATGGCCCGGACTGTTTGGCAATATGCCCTTCCTGACATTATCCGAAAACAACTCATAGGCAGGGTAGTAGCCGTCGACGAATTTGACGACCTGCTCATCAGTCATGCCCGTGCCCCTTTCGCGGCGCAGCGCCGCCTCTTGCTGTAGGCGCCAGTCATAGACGTACTGCGTGTCCTCGGCATCAATGTGGATAAAGACGTCGAGGAGATCAGTCATGGCGTCGTACTCTTTGAGTCTCTCATTCACCAACAGCAAATGCTCGAGCTTGTGCTTCTGGAGCGTCCTGCTGGGGGCCTTCCACTTGGCTTCGACCTCGACCTCTGGCAGGGCGCGGAAGCCGACGCACCAGCCCTCAAAGATGACGACCTGGAGTTTTGGCTGGCCGGGCCTGTTGACCTCTGTCCACTGGCTCTCGGGGACGCGGTCGCCCTGGCCGGAGAAGGCGGCCTTGTCGTAGGAGGGGACTTTGGTGGGCTGACCCTTGCTGATGCTGTCGAAGAAGGCGCGCGCGAGCTGGGTGTCGTGCGTTCCTGGCTCGCCGCGCTGCTGGACGAGGAGGTTCTCCGGGTGAGAGCGCGCGAGGGCAAGTTGGTCTGCGTGCGTGAGGTAGAGGTCGTCGATGCTGAAGACGAGGGTGGGGTGGCCTAGTTTGGTGAGGGAGTCGGCTAGGGCGCGAACGAGGGTTGTTTTGCCGACGCCTTGGACGCCATTGAGGCCGATCATGAAGGGGCGTGTTGGTGCTTCATCTTGGGGGGTTGTGCGGGCTTTGAGGAGAGAGGTGATGAAGGGGATGCAGAGGGGGCTTTTGTCGTCGATGATGGGCGGTGCGGCGGAGGCCATGGCGGCGGTGGTAGCGGTACTTGGGGATTGGGGGAGTTACCGGTGATGCCTGTGGATGCGGAGGTGGTCCGGCGAGACAGGTGAGGGACTTCATGGCCGTTTGGACGCCGATGCCGAGAGGTGCCCGGCGGGGTTCAGCGGGATGCGGGGCGGCATGCATCCTCGCGGCGGGTTGACGCCGAAGCGCTTGTGCGGTTTCCCCGGGATTGTGTACGTACTCATTACTGCTTACAGGTACTGATTACCGCGAGTCCACCATGGTGAAGATGATGTATACCGGCCCCGGCAGTTTACAATGTGTTACATGATTGGGATGAGATGGTAGCTCACTGCAAGGTCTTCAGCAAAAAGGCTTCATCTTCAATGAATGAATAATCAACTAATGTACCTTAGGTAGAAGCCTAGAGAGAATCGGCAGAACCCCACGGCATCTCAACACGTGCGGTAGGCGAGCATACCCGAGATCTTACCAAGGCTAAATTTCCTCGTAGGGAACCACTGAATTTAAGTTGCAAGATTCGCAGGGGACTCTGGACCTCCCCAGACAGACTTTAGTCGGCAGCTGGGGTGACCAGTAGGAAGAAGGGACTGGTACCCATCTCTTGCGGCGCCGTCTATGTTCCCTGGGACCATCAAGTCAGCACAGGTCCGTCGGCATCGAGTGGGCACGGCATCCCGCTCTCTCACCTTTGGACTTTGGGCCTTGGTGGCCGTTCTCCAGTGTTCCACGGCTTCAGATACTGGAGAGACGCTGGGGAAGTACGTACCCGCTGCCGACTAGAGGCTGGGCGAATGCAGCGCTGTGAGTGGCCAGTCTTGGGGTTGAGCAGGGGCATGTGACATGGGGTGGCGGGGTTGGCTTCCTTCCCCACATGACCTCATGTGCACGATGGGGAACGTGGGTACCTCGACACGCTCGAGTCCATTGGAGACTTTGTAATCCACGGCAAACGGAGCATGTGAAGTTTGGCCTTAGCCGCTTCCAGACTAGCGCATTTCGTCGGCTTCGGACACAGCAAGCTGCCTCGGCTCTCTGAGCGGCTGCCGTCACGCTGCACAGAAGACAGTTGCCGGAAGCGCAGAAGTTAGAAAACCACCACGTCCGTCCTCTCACACGAACAAAAGGTTCATTGGATTGACCATCGTTGCGACCTCTTAACCATATCCTATTCCCTACGCTCAAACTTGATTTCGCTGTGCCATCTATACTCCTATTTAGCGACTGTATTCTTTCTCTCTCTCTTCAATCCATCACATACACACAATGGCTGGTCAGCTACGCTTCGACGGCCAGGTCGTCGTCGTCACAGGCGCTGGCGGTGGCCTCGGCAAGGCCTATGCCACCTTCTTTGGCTCCCGCGGCGCCAGCGTCGTCGTGAACGACCTCGGAGGCTCCTTCAAGGGCGAGGGCAACTCAACCAAGGTATGGCATATAATGCAAAAAAAAAGTGTCCGAGTGCGAGCACCGCTGACGTCTGACTACCCAGGCGGCCGACGTTGTCGTCAACGAGATCAAGGCTGCCGGTGGCAAGGCCGTGGCTAACTACGATTCGGTCGAGAACGGTGACAAGATCATCGAGACGGCGATTCAGAACTTTGGTCGCATCGACGTGCTGATCAACAATGCGGGCATTCTGCGCGATATCAGCTTCAAGAACATGAAGGACGAGGACTGGGACCTGATTATGAAGGTGCACGTCAAGGGATCGTACAAGTGCGCCCGCGCGGCATGGCCCCATTTCAGGAAACAAAAGTACGGCCGTGTCATCAACACGGCCTCGGCTGCCGGTCTCTTTGGCAGCTTCGGCCAGTGCAACTACTCTGGTACGTGTCGCAGCCGGTGCCCAATTGATATAAACCGTCTCGAGATATGCTAATTGGGTTCATGCAGCTGCCAAGTTGGCCATGGTTGGCTTCACCGAGACTTTGGCAAAGGAGGGTGCCAAGTACAACATCCTGTGCAATGTCATTGCACCAATCGGTATGTGCAACGTGTGGGCAAGCGGAGCCGCGGGCAGGGGAAATCATGAGCGCTAACTGGTACAAACAGCCGCCAGCAGAATGACCCAGACTGTGATGCCGCCCGATGTGCTGGAGATCTTGAAGCCCGAATGGGTCGTCCCCCTCGTCTCCGTCCTCGTACATAAGGACAACAAGGACGAGAACGGATCCATCTTCGAGGTCGGCGGTGGTCACATTGCCAAGCTGCGTTGGGAGCGGTCCAGCGGTCAACTCCTCAAGGCCGACGACAGCTACACACCCAGCGCCGTTATCAAGAAGTGGGATCAGGCCATCGACTTCTCTAAGCCTCAGTACCCCTCCGGTCCTAATGACTTCTTGACCCTCCTGGAGGACTCCATGAAGATGGGCCCCAACGAACAGGGCGAAAAGGTTGACTTCACCGGCCGTGTGGCTCTCGTCACTGGCGGTGGTGCAGGGTAAGCTTATGGAATATTGCATGTGCTCGTTCGCAGCTAACAGTATTAGTATCGGTCGCGCCTACAGTTTGGCATTCGCCAAGCACGGCGCCACGGTCGTTGTCAACGACTTGGCCAACCCCGACGATGTTGTCAACGAAATCAAGAAGCTTGGCGGCAAGGCTGTTGGCGTCAAGGCCTCAGCAGAAGACGGCGATGCCGTGGTTAAGGCTGCGATTGATGCTTTCGGACGCATCGACATCATCGTCAACAACGCCGGCATCCTCCGCGACAAGGCTTTCAACAACATGGATGACAGCCTCTGGGACCCCGTCCTGAACGTCCACCTCCGCGGTACCTACAAGGTCACCAAGGCTGCCTGGCCGTACTTCCTCAAGCAGAAGTACGGGCGCGTCATCAACACCACCTCCACCTCTGGCATCTACGGCAACTTTGGCCAGGCCAACTACGCCGCGGCAGTAAGTCTCATCGTGCCGATACTCGAGACTTGATCACTGACAGACGAACAGAAATGCGGTATCCTTGGCTTCTCCCGTGCGCTCGCGCTCGAGGGCTACAAGTACAACATCTACGTCAACACCATTGCCCCCAATGCCGGCACTGCGATGACAAGAACCATCATGCCCGAGGAGATGGTCCAGGCCTTCAAGCCCGACTACATTGCGCCCGTCGTCCTCGCCCTCTCCAGCGACAAGGTTCCCAAGAACCCTACTGGCGGCCTCTACGAGGTTGGCAGCGGTTGGGTTGGCCAGACCCGCTGGCAGAGAACCGGCGGCCACGGCTTCCCCGTCGACGTCCCCTTGACCCCCGAGGAGGTTCTCAAGCACTGGGACTCCATCAGAAACTTCGAGGATGGTCGCGCCGACCACCCTGAGAAGACCCAGGACGGCCTTCAGAGCATCATGGCAAACATGGAGAACAAGAGCAACAAGTCCAAGGTATGAAGACTTCTTCAGCAGCGCGATCCTGTAAAGTAGCAATAGTCTCAAAAATAAGAACAATATTGATCATGTGTCCTTACAGTCAGAGGCAAGCTCCGGAGGTGACAGCAAGTATCTCAACGCCATCAAGGCTGCGCAGAATGCTGAGAGCAAGGGGACCGAATTCCAGTACGAGGAGCGCGACGTGATGCTCTACAACCTGGGCATCGGCGCCAAGCGTGACCAGCTCAAGTACGTCTTTGAGGGCGCCGACGACTTCCAGGTCGTGCCGACCTTTGGCGTCATCCCGCCCTTCAACACGGAGCTGCCGTACAACTTTGACGACATTGTCCCCAACTTCTCCCCCATGATGCTCCTGCACGGCGAGCAGTACCTCGAGATCAAAAAGTACCCCATCCCCACCGCCGCCAAGCTCGTGTCCACCGGCAAGCTCCTCGAGGTTGTCGACAAGGGCAACGCCGCCATTGTCAAGAGCGGCATCACCACGGTCCACGCCGAGACCAAGGAGCCCGTCTTCTACAACGAGATGACTGTGTTCCTGCGAGGCTGCGGCGGATTCGGCGGCCAGAAGAAGCCTGCCGACCGTGGCGCCAGCACGGCGGCGAACAAGCCTCCTTCCCGCCACCCCGACGTCGTCGTCGAGGAGAAGACGACCGAGGAGCAGGCGGCGCTGTACCGTCTGAGCGGTGATTACAAGTACGTTGAAGTTACCCGCTGCGTTTTTAAGAATCTTGACTGACACACTCTAGCCCCCTCCACGTCGACCCTGCCTTCGCCAAGATGGGCGGCTTCAAGGCCCCCATCCTCCACGGCCTCTGCTTCTTCGGCGTCGCCGGCAAGGCCGTGTACGAGCGCTTCGGCCCCGTCAAGAACATCAAGGTGCGCTTCGCCGGCACCGTCATCCCCGGGCAGACGCTCGTGACGGAGATGTGGAAGGACGGCGGCAAGGTCATTTTCCAGACAAAGGTCAAGGAGACGGGCAAGCTTGCCATTGGCGGCGCCGCGGCGGAGCTGGTTGACGACAAGAGCAAGCTCTGAGTCGTTGCATAAGGGAATTATTCTTGGACACGGGTTTTCTAGTTTGTATGAGTAAATGGCTCTCTCTGTATGATTCATGAGATTTTTCAAATCGAGTTTAGGAATAAGGCAGGTTATGAAAGTTGAAGTTGAATTTATTTACCAATTACAAAAGGTTACTTTGTTGTAGATGAGCGCCGAGACGACAGTCCTCATCCACTCTACCCTCATAATGTGAGGTTGTTCCCGTTTCTCGACCATCCCGCAAGCCCTCAACGCCCCAGAAATGCCCGTATCCCGGTATAATATCCATAACCCTGTCAAACTCCAAGCCTCTCGTCTTTGCCAACCTGCCGCATCATGCCGCTCTACAAAGCACACATCTACTCGGAGCGGGCTTCACACAAAAACGGTCTCAACCACAAAGTCGCAGAGTTCCGGCAAGGTCGGCAGTTGACCGTTCTTGAGGCGATTCTCGACCGGCGAGACCCCGTTCCTGGCGAAGCCCGTCTCCAAAAAGGCCTTTTCGGCCCCATTCAGCTCCCGCTTCTCCGTCTCGCGCCACTTGGCCTCGGCATCTTCCTTGGCCTGCCTCAGCACCGAGTCGGTGTCCTCGCTCTCCCAGAGGTTGCACCTCAAGCACTCGGTGCAGGGCCGCGGGTCACCGTCCGGCCTGAAATGGTCGCAAAAGTGCCTGTACCCTTCGCCGTCGCCGTTGGTACCGCCAATGTCCTTGCGGCAGACGTAGCACATCTTGTAGCCACAGGGACAGGTGAGCTTGTTGCAGCCCGAGTTCTTGACGAATGACGTATGACATCGCGGGCAGACGCGCTTGATGGCCATGCTCATGGCTTGCTCAACCTGTGTACGCAGCGCAACCAGGGAGGACTCGTTGCATACGTGGATATCCTTCCAGGCTTTGGCACAGGATAGACACGAGCTTTTCCCACACTCGGGGTTTTGACAAGCAAATTTGAGTCCACGACGCCGTCGGCGATGGCGGCCGAGAGCCAGGTGCCAGTGTGAGACCAGGCGGTCACCAACCGTCTGCTTCGTGCTGACGAGGAGACAGAGAAAGGAGGACAACAAGACCACAGGGAGGAGGAAGGGAACCGTCGCGATGCATACGAGGAGGAGCGCAAGACTGAGTAAACTGTCGAGTCTGATCCGCAGTTGCGTTTCTTGTGCTGGGAGGTAAATGTCATCCACTTCGGCATAGTCGCAAAAGGGGCAACGAATAAGGGGCATATTAGATGCCAGGAGACTGTTTTCTGCCAATCGCTGGTCGAGTTTACGCAGGATCTCGGCGCCCTTCTTCTCCTCTAGCATAGCGCGGTGTATGTGCTCGTAGGGAATATGACCAGGGCATCCGTTTCCTTCGACGGCGAGACATTTCAACGTGCCGTGGTTTGTGTCGATGCTGCTGTGCCACCCCTGGCCAAACACAGCTTCCATAATTGAGTGCTGGATGCAGCGGAAACAGAGCATATGCCCGTCCGTGCTGCAGGTTGTAAACTCCTCAAAGGTGGACTCGGTGAAACAGCATGCGCACTCATGCATGGCGCCGGCTTCCTCGGCTTCTTCATTATTCATCAAGAATGCCAGACCTCGGTCCTTGTCCTCTTGCGTTTGTCGTGCCCGGTCTTTCAGCGGTCGCACCAAATCACGGTACAGTTCAGAATCGAGCTCGGCATTGCCCGTGGCCTTGAGAGACGGCACGATGGCGCCTTGGCCGGTTGACTTCCATATTATCAGCGGGTGGTTCTCGGCTTCGCCCGTTGCGACCGGTTTCCGGCGGAGGAAGAGGGACGATATGGTGAAGCGCCACGACTTTGACGAAAGCGAGACGAGAGTGTTGCGGGCTTCGAGATAGGAGTAGTTGGACTCGGCGAGGACGGCGTTGATGGTGGAGCGCGAGAGGCCCTTGAATTCGTGCCAAGCCAGCGCTTGCACGGCGTGTTTGTACTCGGGACTTCGGAAAGCTTCGACGCGAGGGATCAGAGCCTCGTCGTCCTGCTCTCCTGCTTGTTCGTTCGCAACCAGGGGTCTAGCAGGTTGATTTTCGACTGTCCTCCAGCGACCCTTGACCCAGGCGACACGATTCTTCAATAGGGCATCGATTACAACAGCCAGCCTCGATTCCTCGTCAAAGTTGATCAACATCTCGCGGAAGACCTGAATCTGAATATCGGGGAAGATGGCGGCAAGGGCCTCGAGGCTATTATTGAGCTCGCGAAGGTCGGGGCAGTCGGGAGACAGCGCAGGGAGCTGCTCCTCGTCGTAAATATATCCATGGTGGGAGCTGGAGGCGGAGGCAGAGGTATAGCCGGCGTCTGTCGTTTGAGAGGAGGCATTCTCAGAGGCCTTTTGAAGAGAGCTGGACGAGGAGGTCTTGGAGCGGCTGGAGACGAGTTTGTCGGTCGAGGATCCGAGAAAAGTTGTGAGGCCCATCTTGTCAGTTCATGGCTGGTGTAGGCCTCGCATGGCGTGGAACCGGCGGTGACGGTCAACGGGCACTGCGGGAGGCAAGGCGGCTACCGCGACATGAAGACACACCCAGAGCTACGTGACGATGTTCGCAGTGAAAAAAGGGTTTCGTGGTGTCTGCTGGCGAGTGGGCGCGAGGATGCGTGGTGTGAAGTTGTCAAGGATGTCGCCAGGTCCTTGGTCGTTGGGAAATGGCGGGCAGGGAAGCGCAGATCGGGGACTGTTATCGTTGTTGAAATGAATGTGACCAGGTTCCTTAGTGCCGAGTGCTGCTCATCTAAGGACGATGCCAATGTACCCTTTGGGCGTGCTCAGGTGGCTCGGTACCTCTGGTGGGTGTGTCTGGGAAGACCATGCGGGAGAGTTTAGGGGAATGACCACCAGCTGGCGAGGCGTTGGTTAGCGATGCCCATAGTGGAAGCCCCGACCTTTACTAAGGTGCTAAGGCCAATCATCTCTGCATGTTAGCTGCAGCGTTCCATCTTCATGCAAATACTAACAGTCTCTGATCAGAACCAGTTCGAGCAGGGAAGGACGTCCCAACAGTTGCAAGTGCCTCGGCCACTGGGTGTAACGGGCTGTCATCACACGGTGGCCCCCGCTGATGGGAAACAAATATGAACTTCATTCGAGTATTTCCGTGTGGCTACGGAGTACTCAAGACTCAATATTCACTCAATCTGAACATTGCCTACTTGCACATAAGTGAAGCAAAAGACTACCTCAAGTGAGGCACATATAGGTAGTGATTTTCCACTAGACAACGCCTGGTTCACATCACAGTTATTGTGTTCAAGAGCTGGTAACCGCTGGCTCTTAATGAAGGATAAAGCATCGGCTACGGGATGCTGTCGAGGTACTAACATGCTCAGACTCACATTATCCTCCCGAGTTTGAACAAGTAGTAAGCCCGTGTCACAGGGTGAATTGGTTGGACGTGATATTCTTCCACTTGCTCTACAGGCTAGATCTCTCGCGCGAAAAACATGGTCTCGCGTAGACGAAGCGCTCATGCTTCCAAAATAAAACGCTAGTTGGTCTACAGGTCTACCTCCGTGGCCGTCGTGTCAGCCAAGTCGAGTGCTCTCGATTTGTGCTTTTGACTCTACACATTCTCACTCACGCCCCTTCCACCTCTTGGCCAGCAACTAAGACTTTCACCTCTAAGACTTGCGGTGAAGAAGGCCGGCGGCGCCCTGTATTTAGAGTTAAACACGTTTCAAAGTACACGATTTAAAAATCAAACTCACCTGATGTTGAGGGAAAATGAGCGTGTCTGCAACGACAACGTTCTCTCTCCTGGTGGTCGTGAAGACGACAACTTCTGCGATATCTTCGGGGGTAAGAGGCTCACATCCGCTGTAAAATAATTAGCATAGTGTCCATACTTGGAGTTTCTCGCAAGGTCCGAGGCAGAAGCATCCAAAAAAGAGTGGAGCATTGACTTACGCATAAACGGCGTCGGCCTTGGACTTGTCACCATAGAAGCGAACGACGGAGAATTCCTGTACCAAGTTAGATTCCGTCACAGACACTCGACTCCCAAGAGATGATGGCTTACAGTCTCGACCTGCCCGGGGTCAATGCCAATGACGCGGATACGGGTCGCAATCAGCTCCTTTCTCAAGCTGTCGGTGAAACTGCGCACGGCAGCCTTGGTAGCGCAGTAGATTGAGCCACCAGGGTACGGCTCACGACCTGTGATGATGACCTTCAGTCAAACATGCTCCTTCGAAAACACGAGATCGAGAGGCGAAGTGCCAACTTACCAGCAATGGAGCCAATGTTGATAATGTCTCCTGAGCCGCCATCGGGGCGCGCCTTGAAGATGGGGAGAATGGCCTGCGTCACGTTGATGAGGCCGGTGACGTTGGTAGCGAACATGACGTTGATGTCCTCCTCGGCGATCTCGGGGGCCTTGGCAACTCCCTTGACGAGACCGCTTTTGATCCAGTGTTAGTCAAGAACTACATTGAAAGTGGATAGCAAACGTACGCATTGTTCACGAGGATGTGAATATCCTTGAATTCCTCGGGCAGGTTCGGAACCAGCTGGCGGACCTCCTCGGGGTTGCTGACGTCCAACTTGACGGGGTGGACCTTGACGCCGCTGCCGACCTCCTTCTGGATCTCGGCGGCGACCTCCTTGAGGGTGTCGATGCGGCGGGCCGTGAGAATGAGCTTGAGGTTGTTGGGCGCCGTACGGGCGTATTCAAAGGCCGTGCTCTTGCCAATACCGCTCGAGGCGCCGGTGATGAGCACCGTCTTGCCTTCGAGGCGCTTTGCGGCGGCGGACATGATGGTTCTGTGATGGTTCTGGTGAAGGACTTTGCACAGGGAAGAATGCAGCTGTGGCTGTTGGCGTTGAGATGACAAGAGTGAAGAGCAGACGGAGCGAGCTATACGGGTATAAGGGGGCATGTGTGAATTGAGAGGGAACCGGGAGGGAAGAGGGTTGGTTCGGGGATGAATTAGTTGCTTATATAGCTGACTCTATCTGGGATTCTGCAGAAGTCAGGAGAAGGTTGCTTTGCTCGTACAGGTTGCTATTACCCAATGATAGGGCAGGATTGTTAGGGGAAGCTGTTCCGGTACAGAAGGAAAGTGTCGACACGTTTCCGACTACAGAGGCAAAGGAGGGACGGATAAGACGAGGGGAGAGCGCCAGTGGACGGCACGGCGCACGGAATGGATGGGCCCCACACTGCGGGGTTTCAACCGACCGATAACCGGCGGGGACAGGCGATTGCATCATTTTGCTTGAAGCTTCTTCACTCGACACAACTTGTTCTGGCCCCTCACTTACTCAAGTATAAGTAGCAGGGCTAAGAGTTAGATTTGGAGGAGTCGACAAGAGGGTCTAATGGGGTTCATTCACAGCCTTCTTGGCCATGAGAGGCTGTCGCGCCGATGAGGTGATTGACAAGTCCGACTTGTTTGTACTTGGCGGCCTTTTCTATCCCCGCACCATGCGGCACCAACGCCGATGAGCTCTGCCCGGCTGAGGTTCCGACAGCCAGCCCAGGGTTACATAGGCCAAGGTTGCGGCTTAATAGGCCCTCGGTTCAGTCAACGGTCACCGTGGTTTTCCGGATGTTGATCGCGGGGTGGTTCAAAGAAATTTCGATATTGATAATTAATACTGACATGAGGTCTTGCTCATAAACCCATACTCATCACATATATCCGTTGATGCCAAATATTGACACTGAATGCCCCGTAACGCCAGCCAGGTGCTATGCTTGAAAAATCATACAACCAACCCCAACGATAAAGATACAGCGCCGACTATACACAGGCTTAGTCCGTTGTTGTCGAGGAAACCAACGTAGTCGCCGCTGATGCCCTCCGCCGCCTTTCCACCTCGGCTCTGATGTGCGTTTGCCGCTGCTCCTCGATGGTGACCCGATTTCGACGATAGACGCCAAAACTGAGGAGGATCGCTATGCCGGAAAGAATAGCTCCGACTTGCATGTCTTTGCAGAAAGAGTCGGTGTAAACCTGACGCACGGCTGCGGCTTGCGCCTCCGTTAAGTTTGCTCCTGCTCCGTGGAGCGACGACAGCTGTCCCGGGCTGAGCACGCCGGTCAACTCGTCTCGCATGAAGTTGCCCAAAATTGCCGTTGATGCGGCGATTCCCAGGCTGCCACCGAGAATCCGCACCTGGGCAATAATTCCTTGCGCGGGGGCTTTGTTACGTTAGTTGTATGTCTATATCCGGCAGAATCGATATACTCACCATGATCTGGAATCTCGGACTCCGTTGCTCCTAGGACAGTTGATGAAGTGGCCGACAAGCCAAAGCCAAAGCCGATAAACGTAAGGAAGCCAAGTGCTTTGGGTTCCAGTTCCACAGACGATGACAGTGTCGTCATTAAGCCGCATCCGATACACACGAAGCAGCTTGCCGTGGTCATTGTCTCAAAAAGTCGATTCTTTTTCTTATTGATGATGCCGCCAAGAGTGGTCCCTAGCGCAACAGATCCTAGCATCGGGAGAAGTAGGATACCCGCGAGCAACGAGCTCTTGCCGTTGACGATCTGCAAGTGGACAGGAAAGGCGTAGATTACCAGGAGATACGGAAACCCGAGAAACATCGTGTTGAGGATTGTGGCGACGTAGACGCGGTTGCGCAGAAGCCGCATCGGAATAGCGGCCATGATGCGGTTGCTCCAGAACTTGGCGACGAAAGCCTCCCATCCCAACAATAGAATGAAGCACACGCCGCCGACGGTGACGGGGGCGATGAAGACAGCTTGGCGCCACTTGTTGCCATCCGAGCCGACATTTTGAAAGGAGAAGACAACGAGAACCGATGCTGCAACGAGAAGAAAAGAGCCAACGACGTCCAGCTCCTTCCAGCGTCTACGTTGCAGTGTTGGGAGATGTTTGGCATCGGGCCATGTAAGGTAGAAGATGAGCATTGAAACGAAGCCGACGGGGCCACTATGTTAATGTCAGAACACTGACATTCTTCTCAAAGGACTGAGGCCACTCACTTGATCCAGAAGATCCACCGCCAAGAGGCGTAATGGGTGAGAATACCTCCCAGAACTGGTCCAAGCACACCGGCGCTCGCAATGACCATGCCGACAAGGCTGGACATGTATTGGAGCAAGTGCTTGGGGGCGACCTCGGGAAAGATGATCATGGTGATGGAGTAAAGGCCTGGCGGAAACTTAGCGAACGACTTGAAGATGACTAGGATGCTCTACTCACCAGAACCACCCAAGCCTTGCAGAGCACGGCATGCAACCAGCTGCTCCAAGTTCTGGGCAAACCCGCAACCCAGGGAAAAGGCGAAGAAGATGATGAAGCTTGCCAAGAAGGCGTTGCGGCGGCCAACAATGTCGGATGCCCGAGCCACCAAGACGGCACAACTCAAATATGTGAGCGTGTATGCAAGTGCAACCCAGTTGATCAAGTCGACCGAATCAAACTCTGTGCCGATGGTGTACAGACTTGTTGCCACGATTGAAGCATCCAACATGGAAAGGAACAGTCCAAGGCAGAGTCTCCCAGGCAAGTCAGCATAGAGATCTACAGCAGCCGTCAACACATCGTGGGGGTAATTACCCAATACTGAGCAGCCAGAATCTCCATGGCGGCAGAGTAGCATCCCTGTAGTGATGGTTCTCTACCAGGCTCTCAACCTTGGTGGACTCGATGTCCTCTTTTATGTTGCCCATGACGATTGCTCCCTTAATCAATGCAGAGTTATGCCAATGAGTATCAATCGCAATAGGATTGTCGTCAGTAAAATGTTGTGGTCGTCAATGTCAACTCGGGGTTATCGGTGGATCTAGGTCTTGTACAACGATTAAGTAGTCGGTGGAACCGATAGTTCTGAAGGGATGTTCACTCGGCTGAATCCTGTCCGTCGGTAGGATGAAAGTCTGACGCGAAGGTCGTCGGTGTCGGAGCAATGCTGTGTTGACGACCACTCACGATGTACGGATACGGGGTTGAGGAGCAGAGCCGGGGCAACTCATAGTGAAGGATGTCACGAGAGGAGGCCCGGGAAACGCATCTGACAAGATCAAAGGCGCTTGCGAAGAGAATGCGAGGTCCAAGTAAGCAGAATGGAGCGAAACCCACGAAGGGAACGCGATTAAAAGAGATACAGGTACCATGGCCGAACATAAGAGAGAACTGGAGAGGTTGAATCGGCGTTCGGGGCGAGACGAATCAGGAAAAAAACGAACGTTCGGCGTTCAGCAACGCATTCGCATTCGCTAGCTCAGAAACGACCTCCTGAGCTCACGGTCCCAGTTGTTTGTCTTTGGCCCGCCGCTGCTGCCGGCCGTAAGCTGATCCCGTAGGCGAATGCGGCGTAGACCCGGCGCGCCACAAAAAAAAAAAAAAAACCCCCCCAGATAGTCAGACAAGTCGGTAGTGAGACAGACCAATACCAGTGAGGCGAGCGAAGAAGGGAGGGCACGATAGTGCGATAGTCTAGGCCGCCGCATTTCTTTCGGTCGGAGTCCCCTTGGGTTTTGTATGTCCTTTCGGTGGCAGCAGCTCGTCCGATGAGGAATGCTAGAACCCGCCTCCCCGACGCACCACGGCCGTTAAAGAATCAGCTGCAACGTGGTCTAGATCCATCATCCAATCCAGGCCCGATCTGATCGATAGTATCTCATCGGCGAAGGCCCCAATTTTCAGCTCCGTGGATCACTGGATCCATCGTCCAGGATAGACGACTTCCATCTTCCAAGTCCGAGGATGGTCAGCATCGTAGTTTGCCCAGCAAACGTTTGCCAACGCCGAAGGAGATTCGTAACTACCGACCGAACATTTATGCTCCACTGGGTCCAGATGCCGTGTGCGCAGCCAGGCCGCAGACTCATCAATTGAAACCCTGAGACGGGAATGAAGAAGAGGCGCAAATCCGTCGCTGAGGAATGTGGGTTCGACACCGCCTATTCGCAATGCCCACTCGGGCGGCGCTCGTAAGTAGGGAGTAAACAATAATCAAGCACTCAAAGACCTTGCTTCGGTGATCGTTGGCTCTCCGTGGTAGAGGACTGCGCCACGCACCGAACACAATGTGCTGGTAGGATATGTAAATCCGGGCTATCTCCCACTCTCCCTAGTGTCGTTCGGGGACTGTAAAGATAGCAACAGTAATTAACCCCTAGGCAAACAACAAGGTAGGGAGATTAGAAAGCAGACCAGACGAGGGAGACGCAAACTTCATCTCGTGGGATGTTTGCTCAAAGTGTGCGCAAAAGTAAGTACACCCGCGCACACGGCAGGAACAGGTTCTGAATTTGAGAGAAATCAGATGGCAAAGAATACCTTCTGGGTTGGCTGGGATCTCCGTTGCTTCTTCCTCGGCTCGTTGGTTTTTCATGTTTGGCTTTGAGTGCACATACGACTGACCGTTCCCGGCTCTGCTGGTGTCTGGTGATTGCGTAGACGCGGAGGGCAAAGGCAGGGGGTTTTATCCATACCTGGACAAGCAGAGTTCCAGTCAATTTCACCATGTCTGAGGGAAAAAGAAAGCGGAAATGGATCGCAATTGTGGGGCGTTGTCCGGAAGGTAAGACCCCACGGCCGTACGGGTACCAATCCGGCCCGGGAAAGGGCCGGGCGGGGAGCCCGCCCTTCCACGTGCCTCCTTAGGTAACCAGCAGTATATTAATAAGTCAACATCTGCTTACCTCATTCACGGTCTCACTCCTCACCGTGCGAAGAACCTCAGCACTATGCTCTGGTGCCACTTCGTCGTTGACGACACTTAGCCCAGGCACCTTCAAACGGCCAAAAAGGCGCCGACAACGACAGTCCCACACTCAACCCACCACAGTGCCCACGTCCTGTCGCTATCGTCAGTCAAGGCCAACCTCCCATCGCATTGACTTATTGAATCCTTACCATATCAAGGCTTGGACTGCCACTGAATCTCATCGAAGAAAAGGAGAACCTCCAGTTTCTCAACCGCTTCAACCATGACAGACATCATAGCCGACCAGGCACCGCCAGCCCTCGCCGTACCATCGGAAAAGGAAAAGAAATATGACCGCCAGCTCAGACTCTGGGCTGCGAGCGGCCAGGCTGCTCTAGAGTCTGCCAATATCCTACTCGTGAACTCTGGCACGGGCACTGTCGGTGTTGAGACACTAAAGAATCTCGTACTTCCAGGTATAAACCCTGTAGCTTACATGCTGGCTCTAAATCAGCATTGCTATTCTTAAAATCATATCAAAAACTAACGTGGTTAGGAATTGGGAATTTCACGATTGCTGATGATGCCCTCGTGAGTGAGGCTGATCTCGGTGTCAATTTCTTCTTGGACGAGTCTCATCTCGGCAAGTCCAGGGCACAGAGCTGTACTGAGCTGCTGCTAGAGCTCAATCCCGAGGTTCAGGGTGATTGGTATCCTAATATCCCGGTAAGGCGATTGAACTACGTATTTATTTTCATAAGACTAACACATGGCAGGACAACACGAGTCTCCAGCAGCTTCTCAAAACCTCAACCCCCTTCACCATCATCTTGTACACACTTCCCATGAAACCGGAAGACCTCATCGTACTCGAGTCTTATAGCCGAGAGCACAAGACGCCATTGATTTCGATACACTCTGCGGGTTTTTACTCCTACTTTAGCACTCGTCTTCCTGGCATCTACCCCATCGTCGACACTCATCCTGACGTCACAGCCATCACGGACTTGCGGCTTATGACCCCCTGGGAAGAGCTGGAGGCTTTTGCAGACAGTCTGACGAAAGATATTGACAGTCTCGACAACCATGAACACGGCCACCTGCCCTTTGTCGTCATTCTCCTGCACTACCTCAAGGAATGGAAATCATCTCACAACTCCACACCCCCGAGCAACTACAAGGATAAAGTTGAATTCCGCAAAATGGTGGCCGCTGCTACGAGAACGGACAACCCTGAAGGAGGCGAGGAAAACTTTGAGGAGGCCGTGGCTGCCGTGTTGAAGACTATTTCGCCACCATCACTCCCTTCTGCCGTCAAGGAGGTTTTTGAGTACAAGCATGCTGACGAGGTGAGTGCCCTCCGTATTACCGCAAAAAGCCAACCTACCTAACAACTCTGCAGAATGAGGCCACCTCTAGCTTCTGGATCATCGCAGGAGCGGTCCGTGAATTTTATGAGAAGCACGGCTGTCTACCAGTACCGGGCGGCCTCCCAGACATGAAGGCGCAATCTAGCGTGTACATTGAACTTCAGAACATCTACAAGGCCAAGGCTCGCAGAGATGCAGCCGAGGTGCTTGAATCGGTCCGTCAGAAAGCTGGTGGCGAGGGCGTCGATGCAGCCGAGGTCGACTTGTTCTGCAAGAATGCGGCCTTTATCAAGCTGGTCGTCCCTGCAAGTGGCGGGCCCGAACAACTGCGCAGCGTTGCAGGTGAGGAAATATCTCCACGAGGATTGCCACAGCCGGTGCTCACACATTGCATTTACAGCGCAGGAGTTTGCCAACGACGAAATGGCCAAGGAGGGCGTGGTGCCACTGTCGCTGCTCCCAATCTATCTCGCCCTCCAGTCCACGTCACACACACCCACGGCATCTTCGGATGAGATTCTAGACAAGATCAAGACGCTGCTACCAGACTGGAGCGACAACGAGCGGCTCGCGCAGGCGGCGCAAGAGGTAGCCAGGTCTGGCGGTGGAGAGCTGCACAACGTTTCCGCCGTGACAGGCGGTATGGTGGCTCAGGAGACGATCAAAATCATCACGAACCAATACGTACCCATCGAGAACACATGCATATTCGACGGCATTGCAAGCCGGTGCCAAATTCTTCGTCTCTAGGGGGTTCGGAAATACGTTCCAATCCGGCCGCTCGTGGTAAACCCCTGGCTTTCAGCAGAACGGCCGTCCATGGACCATAGACCATGGACCCCACTAGAGCAAGGCGTGCGGGGAAAGCTGACGATGTTCTGTCCAGCCAGCGTGGTTGGTGAAAAGTATGGAGCAACTCCTCCTGGGCGGAGAGATGAGGGGAAGACGATGGCACGCACCGTGACCCTGGGAGAACCCCAAGGGGAAACCGTCCGGCATTGAAGTCGCAGATCCCGGAAGAATAGATTGTTTTTCCAATCTTGGAGAAAGGTCAAACGGGGGTTAGCGGTGGCAGTGGTACCCAGAGCTGGGAGAACATGGAGATGGTTTCCGGGATGGCAATTTGTTTGGGGGAGAGGGGTGTGGTTGCAACTCTAGCGCCGCAGCAAACTCATTTGCAGTGCCGGGGTTGGGCAAGGACACCACTTTAACCCTCACTGGACCCTGTCGGACGGGTGTGTGGTTGTCTGGGCGGAGATCACGTCGGACCGCAGTCCCTTACAGCTACCTTACCTGGGATGTGGATGAATTGTGATGCGGCCCAGGGGTATGCGGAACCGCTCTGGAGCAGATGAACCTGACGGAGGCTGACGAAGGCAACCTTGAGGAGTCCACCTGTGATGCCTCATGATATGATTCTTGTCGGCTTCACAATCTTCAAAGACCCTATTCACCGCCAATTATTAAGTCTTGACCGTACATATGCAAATGATGAGTGATCTGTCAGTCTTGTCGTGATGTCAGGTCCCGAGAATGAAACTCCCGGATTGTGGGCAAGAATGTCCGTGGTGAAAAGGCATCGATCGTCTGATCTGTACAGAGTGTACGACCTTGAAAACACTGGAAATGCATGCCAAGAACTCGGACGATTTCGGAGAGATAAGGATCCTTTGCTGCTCAGATCATTCCGGTGGGATATGGGATATAATTCTTCAACGGCCCCCAAACCTCTGAAATTTCCTTATTGAAAGAAACTGATAAGTGAGGAATGCTGGGTTGAAGATTCTTCCCTGACTCAAACGACGGCATATAACAGCGGAGTAGCCCGTTTATTGTGGTCTTATTCATACAGAAACAATGTAACATACTGCGCGACTGAGGGAATAAAACAACATCAAACAAGTTAACGACAACAAAAAAGATTCGGAAGGTTGAGGACAGAAAACCGTAAAGGGTATCAGGAACAATCCGAGTTTGAAGCCGGGTGTCCGAAATTGGAATACGAACGAGGGCGGCTCCGGATGGGATGAGAATCCAATTAGCGACAGCTTAGAAAGCGAGTTCTTGGTATTGGTACAGAATCTGGGCATGATGGTTAGCGTATTACCAGGTCTTCGGCTGGCTTTCCGAAAGGACTGCCTCCAAGACCTCGGAAAGGCACGAACTAGCGAAATGTCTATCTGACAGTTCTTCATTGTCTGGCAGGATCCATAAGCAATACGCAAGCCACCGGCGGGAATAGGAGGATGTAGAATGGGTGTGTGTGTGTGCGTCTGAGCCGTGTCAGCAGACACACATCAACTTCACGATCCTCTGCAGGTTCGTTCGGCTTGCCTGGCAGTCTGGACCGGCGGCGGGCGGCGGGCGGCGGGCGGCGGGCGGCAAGGTCGGATACGTGTGGCGAGTTGCCCGAGCAAGTGTCAAAGTGGGCTGCCGTACGATGTGATGCGTGCTTCCTGGGCTGAGCGATGCATCTCGAGACGGTTTGCAAGCCGCATGCCTCCGTCGAGCGATTGTCATGGCGGTCAAGGAGGGACTCCTGTTTTCAGGATGCGTCTCCAAGATGGGTCAGGTTGCATGAACTGCGCAGAATGTAACCGACAAGAAGACTTTTGGACGGCGGCTATATCGTTTAGCCCAAGTGATGAAGCAATAGCGCCGACTTCTTCTGCGACGTAATGCTACTTATGTTGCTGCTGCGATCCTGTAATACGGTTGTGGAGTCTAAGATCGAGGCGTGAAAATAGAGTCAATCTTCTTAGAGAACCTGGACCAGCAAAAGGAATGACAAGACTTGTCGGAATGTATGACGTTTGCTCCAAAGCAAAACACCCCAGACGTCTTCTCCCTCGCTCATCAATTGGACGAACGGATCCTGAATTGACCCGAGAATGACGGGCAGAGAAAGGCACAGCCGTCCTTGTGCGGGCTGGTCCGCAAACGGGTTCGTTGCCCGTCGAACAGAGCCATCACTCGACGACTTTCCCTGTCTCTCGGGCGCAGCCGTCGCGCAGCCGAGCCAGATGCGTTAATAAGATTAAACACGTGTCGATAAAGGTGGCGGGCCGAATTGCTGTGCCGGGGAACATAGTAAGCTGGGCAGGCCTCTTTCGGAAGCCAGTTTGAACGACATATACAAACCTCGAAAACGCACGCTCGAGAGCGTCCATGCGGCATTTCGCAGTATTCGTGACCGTTCCCGTGTATATCCCGCAATGGGCATTACGGATAGTCGTCAGAGAGGCCCTTGTCATTGTGATGACTCGGAAATTGATCACACTCTGGGACCAGTCTCGCGGAAGAATTTGGCTGTGTAAATGACGGTTATACTGCCCCGGTCGATTCTCGGCTTCAAGAGTTGCAAGCTCCAGTCAGCGTCGGACACAAGCCGCTACTAGAAGGCCAACCATGCTTCATGCAAACATACGCACCCCTACCTCTACAACCCGTGACTCAAAGATCCCCGCAGGAGAAGCGCGGCTAGACAGGAGACGACAAGTCTAGACGGTTCGCCGGGTCCGATACCCTCTGCTATTGCACAATCCTGAATCTGGGGAACCATACCTCCAGGAACCTTGGGGATCATCCTCTGCAGACCATGGACAAGCTACTGCAGGAGTGCCTGGTGGTTTGCGCCTGCGAAAATGATGCCGCCTCATTGATCGACGTGGTCAAAGACCATCTTTTTGCGGTGGTTTGTGATCCCAAAACACATCTTGTCCTCTGGCGTAACCACCGGCTCAGAGTACCGCGCCGGCACGCTCAAAGGCACATGGCAACTCGGAGAGGGATATATCCCACAAGCCAGCATGTGCCGTAGCCAGGCAGATTAGCGAAAGACAATGTTTCATCTCCAGCTATTGAGGAGGCCATTGCCCCCTGCAGTGACGCGTTCAGGCGGCATTAGAGGGAGAGAATAGTCTTTTCTTGAAAACCCAACGGTATGCGGGAGCCGGCACCCACTCCAGGCCAACGAGAAAGGGCGCCTAAGAGTGAGGTACTGTCGGCTGACCGGATCGAGCATATCACACCTTAGTCGATGCGATTTGGACCTCTAGTTATGCCTGGTCGATGTAGGAGGGAGGCAATGTTGTGGGGTATCGACTACCCAACAAGTGCAGATGCATTGCATGAGGTCAACCACGAAGTGAAGGTTAACTCTTGACAAGCACATGAGCGGTCATCGCCCCAGGACCGGGTCTTCAGTGCGGTGCGTCAGTGGAAGATTGAGACACAGCGGCCCAGACGTGATGGTGACAAGATCAGGGAGTCCCTCAGTGAGCCGTCTGTCGTTCTTTGGGTCCGCAAAGACCTAGATGCATTAGTGTGGCTTTTAGCAGTTGGATAGGCGTCCCTTACTTTAGGCAAATCTGCTCCTTTAACGGATGACGGGCGGCAGACAATACGCAGGGGACATGGGAACGGTTCGTCGGGAGGGGTGCCAGGCACGGCTGCTCAGCGAGGCGTGTCATTGCGTGGAAGGCTGTCCACCTGATGTGCCTCGCCGTTGTTGATTAGTGCAGGCTCTCCAGGTACAGTCGTCCCGTCCAGGTCGCGCACGCGAGACTGTGAATACATACCCAGTCACGATGGAGGCCGGCCGGAATACAGACCAAGGGAGGAAAGGTCGAGACGGTAGAGGAGGCAGCGTGGTTGGAGGAACCAAACTTGTAATGCAAAGGGGTGTGGGGAGGGTAGGAGTGATTATGGGGCTATATGGGACGGGCGGCAGATTCAAGTACTCCAGGAAGCAGAGGGAAGAAGTAAAGAAGAAGAATAAGCGCATGCTGGTGTTACATGGGTTGTGATGGACGTGTGACTGAGCCGCCTCGTCTGTCTGGCGCTCCTGTAAGAGGTACCCGTTGGTAGGGCCGGTCGTTCTGGATCGATGAAGCCAAAGTTGAGACCGACGATGGGCGGCACATGCCGGCGGGAAGTGCTCTGAAACAGCCGAAAGCATTCGGGATCGAAGCCGGGCAGAAATAAGTTCTAGTAATTGGAGTGTAATGGAAGCAAGTCCATTGAGACTTGGGAGATGCACCCATACTTGGACGCTGCTATGACTTCTGGATAGCTTCACGACGCTTGCCGTGAGTTTGCGCGCCTTCGGGTCCTCCAATGCGGCTTCCCATGACGAGATTCAAGATGACACAACGAGACAGCCTCTCAGAGTCCGGCAGCCCGTTCATCATTTCCCTGGTTTTCGTTCGGTCAAGAACATATCATCCCCTGATGGGCCGATGAGGGAGGGATGGTAAGCAAGCCGGCCGCAGTGAGATGCAATGAGCCGGACCGCCAGTGAGAGCAGACCGGATCAGGACAGAGGAGAGGTGTAAGACATGAATTGATCAACCATATCGAAATGCTGGCGGGCTACCGCATGAGGCCGAGAAGGTGTCGTCTCGTCTGTACATGGGAAAAAGGGTCAGATGTCAAAAAGGTTTATCCCCTCACGAATTGGAGGCCGTCTTCTTTAACAAGGATGCGGGGATAGCTTGGAGAAACAGGGGAGTGGGAGGGTGAGGGGCATTGGACAGAAGGTGTACGGATACCCTGGATCGGCGGTGGTACCACCTTGTTCATTTCTTCCACACCTCCTTCCTTCTCCACACATCTCCAGGCGAATTAGCCTGCCACCCAGTCTACGAGAGGAAGCTCATGGTGACCAGCCGTCAAGATGCAGAGAATGGAGAGAAAAAGAGCAGACGATGGAGCCTAACGACACGCGCTAAAAGACTTGGTGGGTGATGCGCGTATGGATCTTGCTCCACATGTTCAGGACGACTGCGGATATGCGCGGAGACGGAGGCGGAAGGCCTGAAAGGCTCAACAAGGCTCAAGAAGAAAGGGAAGAGAGGGTCGGGCGAGAGTAAGAGCTTCGGGTTCGGATAGGGCGGTACGGATAATAGTGTGCTGGTTGACTTCCAGGCCATGGTTATTGTCGTCGTTGAGATGAGGTGTAACTGCCGTGGCTGAGGCGGGATTACATAGTGCCGGTGTGGCTGGTGTAACCTTAGGTAAGAATTCAGCACTTTCCTCCTGCGATGTGATAAGGAAACTGCTTCCTGCCCCTTTTCACGACGGTGCTCCCACCCTTCAAGAATTCGAGAAGGAAAAAGAAAGTTGGAGCTTAATGGCCCGTGCCTATATGTTCCTTACTTAAGCACTGCTAAGGAAATGGAAGGCATCGTGGACACCCGCAAGAAAAGCAATAACTTTAGCTTCACACGCCAGGGGTTCGGCCCCGCCCGATTGAGATTCCCCACCAGTCAGTGGCTGACGGCTGTCACTGGGCACTTCAACCTAAACACTACTTCACCCGTAACCCGCGTCCAACGTGGAAGCCATTGCCACTTGCAATACGCACCTGACCGTGGATCAAGGCACCAGGAACTATGTCTGAGAACGAATAAGGATCCCAGTAACCGTTCGGATGCCAGATGTGATGCGATGCGATGCGATGCGATGTTTGCTACATGGTATTTCCTAGTACACGCCTTGGGTAGGTACTGAGTAGTACTGTCTAAGGCGCAGAAGGAAAGAGGTACCGAGGGTAAATTGATCACATCGGGTAGTGGACAGGCGCCGTAGGTAATCACGGTTGCGAGCGGAACGTTCCCATCTCCAAGTTGTCCCGTCTCCCGTTCTGTCCTCTGAGTGGTCTGTCCCACTCGTGGCCCGGTACGCTACCCCACTTTGACCCGACGGTCCCCCGCCCTCCTATGGCCGGTTTCCCCGCCCCCAGACCACTCACCACCACTCACCACTCATCACTCACCACTCAACTCCAAGTTTGCACCACCCCGTCACCTCACTCACTCATTCGTGCACTCACCACTCAATCACTCACGTTGCTTGCCCTCCGCCAACCACCAAACTTTGCCTGTAGATTAATTTAACAATTTGCCCATCGGTCCGGACGACAACACCAACTGTGCCCACCCATCCCTCCTGCGAACTTTTCGCTCCCATTCTCGCAAATCTCCTCACACCGAGGTTTGGAGCCACTTGCGCACTGCAACCTTACCCCAATCCCCATATTTTCGTCCGTACATTAAGGTAGCCCATCGTGCCGTGTCGTGTCACCTGAGCTGTGTCGTTGGCGCTGCTAACTGCTAACTTGCTGTATCTAGCAAACTTGCATTTTCCCACCCATCCCATCTTTCACCAGCCACAGTGACACAAACCTGTCATCCCTCCTCATCCTCATCCTCCTCCACACTCTCCAGATTTTCTGCCCCAATCACAGTTCGCCTCGATATCCAAGGGGTGTGTCTTTCGCTTCATCCTCCGCTTCTTCCTGCCTTACCTACCAATGACTTCTACTGCTACAAACCACGGATATAGCACTCTACCAACACTGATCTGCATTGCCTTTACACCTCTCCCACCATCTGAACCCTCTATTCTGCGGTGCCTGTGTGCCTGTGTTTGCCGTTCGGTAGTGGCCTTGGCCCCGATCCTCAAGCCCCTGGAATCCAAGACACCACCACGAGGTCTTCCCATCTTCCCATCTTGCCGTCTCACTCGCATCTCTATGAGGCCAGGTCCACCACTCAGCACAATGCCTCACCTAAACCAGCGAGTTACCGTCCCTCGTCTTTTGGTCTGATGATATAGTGTCTAGCGTGCTTAGGTATTGTTCCCGTCCCTCCGGAATTTGGCCCTGTCATGGTCCCGTTCACTCTCATGATCCGTCCACGCCCCTCCTCCAGGGATTCTGGGAGAAGAAACCCCGGTCAGTGTTCCTGGCACTAGGTGCGAGTCTACGGCTCCACGCTGAACCTCGCAGGTTTGACTTTGACCACCTCTTCGGCTCGTCGCCTCCAAGGCGCCCATGTTTGGACACTGAATCCACTTCTCTCTCGGTTCCCCTCGTCCTAGCTCATTCTGCCCTCTGCTTCTCTCTCTCAAGAAACAGCCCACCAGCCGCCTCTTTCACATACCGTGAACATATGCAATCGACATTCTACAGATGTCACCTCGCAGTGGGCCAGGGACTCTTTGAATCTGGATCAAGCCCCCCTCCATTGTGAGCCCCCCAGTCACTTGCTTGGCCGTCTAGCCTGGTTTGGTTCCGGCCGGCCAACCCTAAGCTCAATTGCCTGTCCATCTTGCTTCACGTAGCCGACACGGCATTGAGGTTCCATCGCCTCTTTTCCCTCTCATTCAGTGCACCTCGAGACCCATGCTGCTTTTCCCCACACCCAATGTTGCCGCGCCGGGTCTCTAGAATGGTTGCCGTACTCAGGAGGGTACTTCATTGTGACTCTACTCAACAACTCTCCCTTCCAGTTTGTATATAATGTCTGCGTCTGCGCCAACCTTGTTGACAAACTGATCTGTGCGTCTAGGTTTCCCGCAAAGACAAAGATAGATCTTTTGATCATCTCAACGCCTCTTGACAGAATCACCCGAGGCTCTTGCAGTCCATCTCAGCTCCTCAACGGCTTGATCGTCTCCATCTTCTCGGCAACCACGAATATGGCTCCGTCCATCTCAGTACCCGCTCAGGGTGGAATGTTTCACACCTGTGAGTCTCTTTGAGCCGTGATTGTCTTCTCCAACTCACGCCATTCAGTCCAGGGCGTGACGCCACGGAAGCAGACGTCAGAGTCGCAGGAAAGCGGCAAACCGACGAGCTCGTCAAGTTCCAAGAGAATCACTACCCCACATGCTTGCGCCGAGTGCAAGAGACGAAAAATGTATGTTCCGCTCGGCCTCTCTTAACCCGATATCATCTAACCTCTTTGACAGCCGCTGTGATGGCCAACAACCATGCGGCCAATGTCTCTCAAGCCGTGCTCCCAAGCGCTGCTTTTATGACAAGCACAGACAACGCGTCATCCCTTCTCGCAAGACGCTCGAGGCACTCTCACAGTCTCTCGAGGAATGCCGCTCTGTGCTCAAGCGCCTCTTCCCCCATCAGGACGTACAATCGTTGCTTCCATTATCTCGTCACGACCTCCTCGGTCTCCTCGAACACCCGGTCCTGGACACGCCAACTGCGCTCCCCTCACCGCCTCTCAACGCCTCTCCTCTCTCACAGGAACTAGACTCCCCGGTTTGCTCCGGCTCCGAGCGGGGCTTTTCAAGCCTCGAGCTCATGCCTGGCCGGGACACCGAGTGGGACGAAGAACGTCGCGTACGCGATCCCATCCCCATTGAGGCCGACGATGTGAACGCACTCTCGCTCTCGGTGGACCGGCAATCGTCATATCTTGGCGCCTCTTCGATCAAAGCAGCGCTCATGTGCCTCATGAAGGTTCAACCGGCACTGCGCAACGCGCTCACCACGCCTCTGCAGAGCGCCGAAGTCACACACAGCTTCCCATCCATGCGGCAGAGAAGCGCCGTGCCCAAGGAGACCCAGCGTATCCCGTGGTCATGGAAGGGCCAGACGCTCATTGACGCCTACTTCAAACGCATCCACGTCTTCGTTCCCATGCTGGACGAGGCCGCTTTCCGAGCCGATTATCTGGAGGGCCAGCGCTTCGATGCCCCCTGGCTAGCATTGCTGAACATGGTCTTTGCCATGGGCAGCATCGTGGCCATGAAGTCGGACGATTACAACCACATTAATTACTATAACAGGGCCATGGAGCACTTGCCCATGGACGCCTTTGGCAGTAGCCATATCGAAATGGTGCAAGCCCTCGCGCTGATCGGAGGCTACTATCTTCACTACATCAACAGACCCAATATGGCCAACGCCGTCCTCGGCGCGGCCATTAGAATGGCGAGCGCCCTCGGTCTTCACAGAGAGAGCCTGGCGCAAGGGTCGAGCGACATTGCCGCCGCCGAGACCCGACGCCGTACGTGGTGGAGCCTCTTCTGCCTTGACACCTGGGCAACAACAACAATGGGACGACCCTCATTTGGCCGATGGGGCCCTGCCATTAACATTCGGCCCCCCGAGTTTGGAATCAACCAGGGCCGGGACTCTGCGCAGCACGCCGGCATCTTGCCCCTCATCGAGAACATCAAGTTCTGCAAGATTGCCACGCAGATCCAGGACCTGTTGGCCATTTCGCCCCTCCTCCGCGCAGAAGACCGCTGCAACCTCGACGGGCAGCTGGTCAACTGGTACAGCAGCCTACCGTGGCTCCTGAGGACAACGGACCCCTGCGCGGAGCCGCTGTACATTGCCCGGTGCATCATGAAGTGGCGATACCAAAACTTGCGGATGCTCCTCCACCGACCCGTACTGCTGAGCCTGGCTAGCAACGGCTCGCTGTCTCACGTGGCCGAGCAGGACGTCGCGGCCATTGAGACATGCCGCGAGCTCGCGAAGCAGACCATTGAGGACATTGCCCGGGAATGGACTCGCAACCAAATGTCTGGATGGAACGCTGTGTGGTTCCTCTACCAGGCGGCCATGATCCCGCTGGTCAGCACGTTCTGGGAATGGAATAGCCCGCGCGTGGCCGACTGGCACCAGCAGATCGAGACGATCCTCGACCTGCTGGAGGCCATGGAGGACTGGTCATTGGCGGCGAAGCGTAGCCGAGAGGTCGTGTGGCGAATGTACGAAGCCTCTCGACAGCCGTCGATGCGGTCAGAGAGCCCTCTGCAAGGGTTGGCGGGCGAGCAAGGGATGCTGATGGCGGAGGCGGAGCTGCACATGTCACCCATCGGCCTGGAGCCGGAAGGGATGGGCATGATGGGCATGCTCGATCAGCATGGACTATGGGATATGGATGGCATGTATTGGGGCCAGGGTCCTGACCAGGCCGTCGACTTTTCCCCGTACAACGTCAACGAGCATATGATGCACATGGACTACGGTATGATGGGCAGCCAGGTAGCCGGCATGGAGGGGGGCTTCTTCGTACACTGATGTGTCACATTGGAGATTTTGCTCTGGCTTTGTTTTTCTGGCACATATCTTCTCTCTCTTTATGGTACATACTTGGATCCTCTTGCTGGGATTGGGACACTTGGCGGAGGGCATTATAGCCGAAGCCAGAGATGCTGTACATAAGCTCGCATGTCCAAAAGGGTGAGCCAAACCGTGCTCGGAGTTTCTTGGAACGAACGCCAGTCACATTGACGGGGGAAAAAAAAAGAAAGGAGAAAAGGGAAGGGTGGCTGGCGCGCCTGAAAGCATGGAAAACGGGACATGATGGCGGCGAAGATTACTGGAAACGCCCTGAAATGACGATGACGATTTTACGTACGACCTGCAATCAAACGAGACCCCATTCAAGAATACAAACTGTGACGAGAGACGGCCTGAAGCTCATTCTAACCCCGGGCTCGCCCGCCCGCCGTTGGCAAACAATGACATCGGCCACGTGTGTTTTTGCCATGCGAGGAGCTACTCTGGAGTGCCGGCAAGGCGAAACTGGGCCTCGTCTGTCGGTCCTACGACCCTAATGAGTCCCTGCGCGGCCGCATAACTTTACGTCGTGCTGCGGCCATGGCAGGCACATGACTGTAAAGAGGCCTTGGACACGAGTGGTGTGCAGGGTCTTATGTACCGCGAAGTCATAGAACACTATTCGACCTCCCCGACCTTGAGAAGCGGAAGGTTATTCCATGTCACGGTGTGCTCAAAAGCATCAGCGAATTATATGTCTGTTGACGAACAGCAGGAGCTTCGCCTACCCCTGAACAACACATAGCGCAAGTGTACCTTACCTCGGGTTGCACAACTATTACAGGGCACGAAGGGGGGGACCTTTTGTTATTCACTTCAAGCATAACGTCGCGATCGGGAGAGCGGGCGATCATGCTATGGCGTCGGCCGGGATGAGGCTGGCTGGGAGGTGAGTGGTCGGATCGGAGCAGGATGGTTCCTCAAAGGCTCGTCAAAGGTGGCCGTTTCTCTTAGCGTCATGCTCCCCATTCCCCAAAGAGAAGCTTGGGTTAGAACTGGAAAGGTGAGGTTGAGTGAGGTTTCCATGATCCGAGGTAAGGTAAACCAGGCTAGGATGAACGCGCAGATATCCGAGAGGACCCGAGTTGCGATTGGGCGGGTAAATATGTTGGTGGAGGTGTCAGGGATGGGCTTTCTGGGATGTCGGCCCGCAGAGAGCAGAGTGTCCCCCCTGTTCTGTACTCCCCCTCATAGACGCCACGCACTCCACACTTTCAGAATCATCCCATGATCCATGTTCCAATCATGGTTCTTCTGACTTCTCTGCCGTCCCTGTCTCCTCCTACACTCCGGCGCCTCACATATCTCTCTCTCTTCCTTTTACTTCTCATCGTACCTTGCCTGCTACGCCACACTTCGTCTGCTCAGGGAAAACAAGATAGTGTTGGGTATATAACGAGATGCTATGCTACTTGGAGCCTTTACAATGCGAAGAGCCTTATAGTGCGCGACTACCATTGCCTCTATTCTTGTTTCAGGAACCAGCCATTTCTCACCATTAAGCAAGAGTAGAGTCATGAAAACGTGTATCTATACGATGCTCGAATCACAACTCTTGTTTGCTAGAGAATGCCAGGAACAGTTCGCTGGGAAGGGGCCGCCGAGTTCAATGGTAGCCTCATGCAATAGTTGCTGTGGTGCCCATCTGGCGCAAATGAGTCTCATCAAAAATCGACGTACTCGACAAGGGGCTTCTGCAGGTGCGTGGCGTCGAGAAAGACGCCCGACGCCCGTCATAACAGATGCCGAACCCAGTCATTCTTTACTCCACGGCAATTCATCAAGATATACCTTGAGGTCGTACACAATGAAATTTGACATTACGTTCTGTGTGACTCTCGCTTGTGTGACGTTTCTGCGCTATCATGTTGAAGACTATATACAAGGGTCGAAGTGGTACATCGTGGGCCAAGATGTTGTCTTCTTCTGGATTCTAGAGTCTAGACTCCCAGTGACTAGTGCTCTTTGCCAATTGAGCCGAGAGACCTGATGCTAGGGCACCAGGACACGATGTGACTCGGTCATCCCACAACGAATAAGGCTTCGCTCCTTTCTTGACACCGGGCCTACGTTCCCGATGGCACCGGCGTGCCAATAGCCTCGGTCGACGGGATGCGACGAGGCATACGAGTCATGCCTTCAGCAGGCGATGCGACCACCGGGTCATGCTGTGGTCAGAATTTGCGAAAAAAAACCGAGGCTCAATGCTGTCCCCTCGGACCCCTTGCAGTCTTTGTTGAAACTTTTCGGGGGCCACTGGGCTGCCGGTAGTTATACAAAGTAGAAAGCGAGGCAGAATTGTAGTAACGCTGCTTCATGCATGTCTCATCGTCAACGCGGCCACAGCGGCGAAAGTGCCGGCCCCGCTGATCCGGTTAACTATGGGTCACTCAAACCCGGCCGATAGACCGAGACGAGACGAACCGCACTGCGGGGATTGGGGGCCGTTGGGATGCGCCCCACTCCGGTGCAGTCGGGCTGGGTCTCCCACCGGCTCCGGCAGCCGACTTTCTAGAAGCTTTCCTCAGTTTCGAAAACCAGAGTATCGGCCTCTCATTCGCAACGAAGTTCATTGAGAACCAAGGAAAGGCGCCAGTGTTTCCATCATGCTGAGGACATGCACGTCAGTGAGGTAAAGTGAGCTCAAGGGACAGCAGTGGGCCAGGCACCCCATTTTCGTGTGTGACTGTCGCTCTCATCTTTTATAGGAGTCACGTCCACTGAGTATTTACTGGCCTTTCGTCGAGGAAGGATGAGGCAGGAGCATATCCGCAGGGTCATAAGGTACCTTGGGCACTAGGTACGTGCCTGCACAAAACGAAGATGGGCAATTGAGGCAGCTACTTACTTACCTGCCCAAGGTGGGAGGAACCTTCCTTACCTCAAAGTCTCATGAGAGCGGAAATCGCCCATTCATTTGGGCAGGCGGAGAAATAACGGCCAGCGTAATGTCCTACGAGCATCCCAGGTGAGGAAAGTACACCAAGAGCAGGGCCGTGGGCTACGTCCAACATCCATGAAATTCTCCACCTGCAACAATGGTCCCCGTCCTTCTCTCGAAAGCTCGTGAATTACCCATACTTTTTGCTTGCGGGAAGTTAATTCCTGAGAAAGATTCGTGATTCAGTTGATCATATGAAAACCTCTGGTACCAGCACTCTGCGAGCGAATTGCGAATGTACATACTCTGTGGACAGAATTGTCCTCGAAACAACTACACGATACATCACGGCGTCGAGTACCCAGACCAGCATCGATTTTCTCTAAACTTCGCATGTCCTACTCCCTTAGATTCAACGGCCGGGCTCAACGTTCACCATGGAACATACTCTCAAATGCAATGTTCTCAAGTGTCGGAAAGAGCTCAGTGACCAGGCTTTGGTCACCACGTGCAGGTGAGTAAGATACCCTTAGCAAATCAAGCAGCCGTCAGCGAACTGAACTTGCGCAGCCACATCTTTTGTGTGGACTGCTCTAAGCGCCATGGCTTGACAGGCCAAGCTCCGGATTGCCGCAAGTCGTGCCCGGCTTGTGAATGCCAGCTCAACAATCCAGACGACGCCGTAGTGACCAACTTGAATCTAACCGAGGACTACAAGACCAGCGTTCTCAGCGGGCTGAGCCCCAACATAATCATGGAATGTGCAGGAAGGGCCCTGAGCTTTTGGGCCTACCAGACAACCCAAGAAGTGTGAGCTGGTCCCTGTCTCAATTCCTTCGGCAACGGTCACTTACCTAGCGCAGTATATACCAGCGCTATCTCGAAAGGACACTGACGGAGAAGCTGAAGACCCTGAACGTGAAGTTCGAAAAGACAGTGGGTGATGCGAATGCCGACATTTCGGGTCTCCAGGAGAAGATACGAGGTACGAAACAACGACGTGGCTGGTTTTCGAGACCATGGACAAGCTGGCTAATATTGAGCAGCTCTTTCACATGACTACGACGACATGCGACGGAAACACGAAGAGCTTGCGCGTTCCTACCAAGACAAGTGCCGCAAGCTCACACAAGTTCAGGAGCTCTACGACAAGGTCAAGCGGAAGGCCGAGTTGGGACAGATGGAGGCTGCCGCCTCGGATGCAGTTGACTCCAACCTCCATTATGGTACACAGTTACCGGCCTTTGAGTTTCCTGAAGCCGCAGCGAGGCAAAATATTTACGAACAGCAGTCGCAGTCTAAGTACAACAATGCGAATTCCTACATCATGCCAGAAAGAGGACATCGACGACCACTTGCCGGCGGAGGGGGTTCTGGGCCATTACGGGACGACAGAGCTTGGTCAAAACCAGGACCTGCGCAAGATAAGCAAAATCCCTCTAAGATGCGACGAAACTGCACACTGACAACACAAGCAGGCGGCATCATGAGCACCCCCCGAGGTACACCCCGAGGACATGGCAGTGGCGGCTATGAAAGGTTCGGCCTATCGACTGCGTCCGGGCTGGGTACGGGAACGGGAACACCAATGCCTCGCGGTCCTTCGGGGAATCTCCCACTTGCAAGACACCCGCCCATTTCGCGTGGACGAGGCCTTGGAGTTGGCCTCTCTTCCGGAATCCGGACTGGGCATACCAGTCACGGTAGTTATGGCTCTACGGGGCGCAACGACACCGAGACATATTCTTATGGTATTTCTTCCAGCCTTGGCCTCTAGAGTATCGCGACTAACGATGTGGGACAGCAGTCAAACGTCAAGGCATAGCTCCCGCAGCATTTAGCCACTTGGCGGATCCGTGACCTGGGCCATGATTGTCCTCTTCGAGAACAGATGCCTTTGCTGACCAGACACATGTTTGGGGGTGACAATGGATGGAGAAGTTGCAAAAAGAATATGGACGACGGACGGCCCACATATTTGTTTTTGACGTGAAGGCTTTTGTTCAAGAGTATGAAACGAGGTCGGGACCTTGTTCGAGGACGGGCCACGAGTTGTAGCAGAAGAAACAACATCCTTTGGGTACGAAGATGTGGCTTATATCAAGGGGCCATAACGGTATCGGTCTTGCGTTTGGCAGTTCCTTGGTAGTTGATATACGCACATCAGTCTTGTCTCTAGTCGAATTGATGATAAGCCTGCCAGCAAGAACTCGATACGCTGTCATGCCACGATTCGGCCGAACAAGGTCTACCAAGAGATCCAGCTCAACGTCGTCGTTGTCGCGTGTGGGTGAAGAGCGTTACATCAAAACTGGCCGAGAAAGTCCCAAGACTATGCCGAAGAAACGGAAGAAACTGCAAAAGTCCAACAGACCCCGCGCCAAGAGCGGCAACAACGGCGATATGGTAGGCGGCAGATGGCTACAAGCAGCAGCGCAGCGATCAGTGCAATGGTGGCGACAGTGCAGAGGGAGGAGACACAGCCTGGAAGCACGAAGACAGAAGAAGCCACGACTAGTAGTTTCGTCACCGATGCACATGGGCAGCAGTCGAACAGCCTTGGTTTATAGCGCACTGCCTGTTCTCCCGGAGCTGGGATCCGGGCCACAGGATACGCGCAAGCTGGGATTACAATGGGAGGCGTTGGAGAGTCATCCCATCTGGTGGACAGGTGAAAGGCAGGACGAGCGTTGACAGTGTGTGAGGGGGAAGGGAAGCGACGGATGATACGCGGCGGGAAGGGCGGATGCTATTCGCTGCAGCCCCGGACGATGGCGTATGACGTTGGTGCTCAACATCGGCGCTCGGTGGTTTCAGATACCAAAGCGGGCGGGAACGAGGACAAATCCAAGGACAGTTGGTGATGCCGGTAGAGCAGACGGGATGTTGAGACGAAAGAAGGCTATAAAATGGGAAGTTAAGCACGACGTGATATCATTGGGGGTGGGGATAGGGATGGGTCGACGCGATGCACCTTGCAAGCAGAAGTCAAATATTGACTTGGACTTGGAGAGCCTCATTCGACCCAAGTATTGTAGTGTCCGATACCTATGTTGAGTGTGGTACGGAGCTATATGGTTCCAGGTGACACTTGAGAGCGCGAGAGCCCATAAATCAATCCCTTTAGGAATTGCGAGGAATAAGAAAGAAAGCGAACAGCAGGAGGGGAGAAAGTCTCGACATGATACCCACGCGGCGGTTTAAAGACAAGTTGCCATGCATTCACCATTTCCAGTGGACTCGGCAACCATGTAGTTTAGGTAGTATGGATAGATTGTGCACCAATTCTAAGATGGGAAAAGAAAGAGAAGAGAAGAGAATAAGAAATTATCTTGGGCCAAGGTTGCGATAGCAGACGGGGCAATCCTCGTCGTAACCGTGGGCCGGTTACTTTATTAGTTGCGTGACGGCCTGCATGCATCCCTTGGCACTGTCTTGGAGCACTGTGCCCTGCATCCGCATAACCCCACTCACTCACAGGACTGCAGTCAGTAAGGTAGGTATCGAAACTCGTGGCGGGGGATAAATATATCTCTTGCACTTGGTGGGCATGTGATGAGGTAAGCGTTAAGTTTGGAACCGTGGGAAGTTAGGAATGACGGCTGCAGAAGGAGCTTCCGTGCTTCCCAGATTCCGCAGAGGTTCAAAGTACAGGTACGCGGCGAGCACAGTGTGCTCCGTAGCAACGCCGTGGCATTCCCGTCTGGCCAATCTGACACGCCAAGTCAGGGGTCCAACCAAGTTCTGCAGTCTGGCGAGTGGACGACAGGGGTGTCTGCTAGTGGATCCATCAGCCCAGTGAGCATTCCGAAGAATTCTCACGGTGCACGGGCCAGAGGGAGGCGACGATGGCGAGTAAGGGACCACGGCACGCCCGACCGGCGATTTGCCAATTGCCCTGTGGCCACACACTGCACAGTGGCGCGCCGCGCTGGCTTACCTTAGTGCTTGGTGCTGGTGTGGTCCCCCAATTCTTCCGAGGCTTCTTTTCCTTCCATTAGTTGATGCACGCGCCGGCACGGTCCTTGAGTCGAGGGAGAAGGGAAGTGAGGGATAAAGTCGATGGCCCGTGGGTTGATGGTCCCTATCAGTGAGAAACTGCATACAGCTCTGGGCGATGATCAAGGGAGGACGCGCAAGATAAGGCACCTTGGCAACTGGCAGCGCATGTATCCGTACATCGAGATGCAGAAACCCCCGAGAGCATTTCCGTCCAACCTTCCATTGGGTGCTGTCACAACAGGTAGGTACTGTGTAGTCCTGGGCGACTGTATCCGGCAGTCGAGGGGAAAAGGCACGTTCCCCCGAGGGCACCAATCATGACCAACAATCAGACGGTTACGCACTCTCTCGTTTGAAGTCGAGACCGGCGCAGACACACCAGACAGCTTGCCATCGTTCACCTCCCGTCACCTCACCTTGGGACTAGTGTTGAAGAGGGTAGCCAGCCACTATTCTGTAGTCTCAGTCTGTACGCTGCCTGCAGGCACTGAGGCACCTTGGGTGCTTGGCTAATCCTCCAAGGTACCGTAGCCAAGGTACCTTACTTGAGCAAGTCTCCAACACGGTGTGGGGCCTCGTTCTAGCCTCCGACTGCCATTGGTTATCCAGCTTTTTCTTCGCCGATAAGACATGAGATAACAGAAACGACCTACCTTCCTTTACTTAGGTACAGTGTGCGTGGGTGCGTAATCTCTGGCTGAATGCAACCCTGTCCCGTCATTCTGCCACCCTGTCACCTCAGTAATCCCATTCCCAGAGGGACCGACTTACGCAGTAGGTATACCAAGGCGTACCAGCCCAGGCCCCAACACGAGCCACACCCCCCTGTCTCCGTCTCCCGTCGTCGTCTCCGTTTGCCTACTGCGTATGTCTGTTCACCCACTCACCTACCGCGAGTGCGTCTGCGTCTCCATCAGCTCCCTCCACTCCTAGAGTCCCACCCCCGAGTCTTAGAACCACGTCTCCAGACTTCTTTTCTCTCCCCATCCCTTCCATTTGCCTTGGCCGTTGATTCCCCTGACGCCGGTAATCAATCGAGCAATCAATTGCCAACCTTCGTTCCCCAATCTCTCCTGTCCAATCTCCAGGATGACCGACGCTCGCTTGAATCAATCCTAGACGACGAACTCTTTTGAAATCAATTTTTCTGCCGCTTCGCCCTACATTTGCGACTACCCAATTGTTTTTTAACTTACCCGTCTCGTTGCCAACACCCGTCGTCCTCCACGCGAACTCTGCCCATCTCGCCGCGACGACACACGACGATCCTCCACTGCGACTAGCCTAATTGCAGGCGTTTTCGAAATTCCTCAACCGTGACCACCAAGGGAGCAAATCTCGAAAGAACAAACAACTGACTCGAACCGATCAAACGAACGAGTCTCAAGGCGCCGTACCACCACCACGCTTACCCGACCTCGATAACGATTCCTCTTTCATCGGCCTTCGCCCATGCTATAATCCCGCCACACCTTCTCCCTCCTACAACCGACCTACACCAAACCTGCCCCCAGAAACCGCAGTTTGACTGCGCCAGCTGCTCCTCATGGGGAAAAAATGTATGCTCATAGAATACGTCGCGTCTTGCGTTGTTGTACCGTGCAGCCAGCTGACTCAAGTGTTCACTAAATAGGGCGATATGGAATCATCTTTGATGCTGGTTCCTCAGGGACACGCCTGTACGTTTACAAATGGAAGGACCATGCCAAAGCCATAAAGCATGCCACTGTGGAAGAGCTGCATAGTCTGCCCAAGATCAAGCTGCAGACGAGCGAAAAGATTCGCCCCGGCGTGTCGTCCTTCGCCGAGAAGCCAGAAGAGATCGGCCATGGACACCTGGAATCTCTCATTAACTTGGCCCTCAAGGAGGTTCCCGACAAGAAGGTTGCCGATACGCCCGTCTACCTCATGGCCACGGCTGGCATGCGCCTCCTTCCCGACCACCAACAAAAGGCTCTCCTCCGCAGCATGTGCTCCTACCTACAGCAAAATACGCGATTCTCGCTACCCGACTGCAATACCAACATCCAGGTAATTTCTGGGGAGACGGAGGGTCTGTACGGCTGGCTCGCTACAAACTATCTGCTTGGCGGTTTCGACCACCCCGACAAGCACACACACGGTAAAGGCCACCACACGTACGGCTTCCTGGACATGGGAGGTGCCTCGGCGCAGATTGCATTCGCACCAAACAGCACAGAAGCTGAGAGACATGCCGACGATCTCAAGCTTGTTCGCTTGCGCACCCTGGACGGCAGCACCATTGAGCACAGAGTCTTCACTGCCACCTGGCTTGGCTACGGCGCAAACCAGGCCCGCGAGCGTTACATCGACAAGCTCAAAGAACAGTATGGCAAGCCCAACGACCTCGAGTTACCGGATCCGTGCCTCCCTGCCGGCTTGCGAACAAACGTCAAAGGCGACCCTGTCGAGGCCGAGGCAGTGGGCAAGGAACTCTCTCTACTCGGCACTGGTCGATTCGACGAATGCCTGCGCCAAACCGAGCCTCTCCTCGGAAAAGATACCCCGTGTACAGACGAGCCTTGCCTTCTCAATGGCCAGCATGTACCAAACATCGATTTCGACGTGAATCACTTTGTCGGTGTCTCGGAGTTTTGGCACACGACCCACGGAGTATTCGGGAAGGGCCACAAGACGGCATACGACTTGGCAACGTACCAAAAGAACGTGGTGGACTTTTGTACGCAGAACTGGGTGGATATCGAGTCCAAGATTGATGCGAGAAAGAAGTCCTCTGCCCAGAAAGCAAAGAACGCCCAGGAAGCCTGCTTCAAGGCGTCCTGGCTTATCAACGTTCTTTACGAAGGAATCGGCATTCCGCGACCCGGACTCGAACACACGCCGCAACCCGGTCTCAACGTCACGAAGGGTATCCTGGAGGAAGCCAAGGAAAAGGGCTTTGTCGATCCCTTCCAGCCAGTCAACGAAATCGACGGCGTCGAAGTCAGCTGGACCCTGGGCAAGATGGTGCTGTATGCCGCCGGCCAAGTCCCTCCCGCAGGAAGTGCCCAGCCGGTTGGCTTCGGAAGCAACGTTGCCGGCGCGACCGACTTTGAGCCTGCGGGATCCAAGTTCTCTCCCATAACGATCGGGGATAACGACGACGATGACGACTGGGATGCCGACGAGCTCCTGGACAAGGCGAAGACGAAATCTGGATCCGGTTTCCTGGCTTTCGTTCTGGTTTTGGTTGTCTTGGCTTTTTTCCTGCGGAAGCGAGACCGCCGAGCACGATGGTTCGGCAAGGTTGCGTCTGCCGTTCGGGGAACGAGACGTCCGGGCAGCCCTCGCAAATTCGGGCGGGGCTTTTCATTCACCAACAAGCTTTTCGGACGGTCATCGGCATCCTACGAACGAGTCCTCGAAGAGGGCGATGCCGATCAGTTCGAGCTAGGCTCTGTCGACTCTGACGAGAACGAGCACTCCGACAGCAGCGAGGGCTCCAGGGCAGGCCATTCTTCCGGCCTTGCCACCCCGAAGCTCAACATTGAGCGATTCGACGACGCTCGACCTACCTTTTCAATGGATCGCGGTGGTTTGGCGGTGAGAACGGAGAGCAGAGAGAGACTGGTACCAAGTTTGGTGAATGCAGGACGTCGCAGTCGCGCTGGTAGTCCGACACGACTAAAGAGTCCGCTCATGAAGCCCTTGGATGAGGATTAAGTAACAGATGCCTGCTTTACGCAGTGTAAGATTATGCATGCCTGCTAGCGACTGGATGGGGATTTCATCTGGGTGTTTTTTCTATTCTTCTTGTTCATTTTTATGGAGACGGCGTTTATTAGGCATGATGGATTAGCCCAGCATCAAGGCCCCTCTGGGCTTTTCGGAGTGGAGGCAGTTAACGGCGTTTCATCACACGGGAAGTGTTACCGGGCCGCTTTAGACGAGAAATCGCTTTTCTTTGGGAGGCATTGCATGGCATTGAGCTGTCGCAGATTTGTTTGTTCCTTTTCTGCGTTGGGTGTTGTACAACGCCGAATCGCCAGTCCTTTCCAGACCAAGTCTTTTGAACAGATGACAATGAAAACTAGACCGCGTTTGTCTATGTGTCTCGAACATGAATACAATGAAATCATCTATTCGGGTATCAAATTAGGAGTGCTATGTACTAGAGTAAAGAAGAACATGTGAGCAAATGGCGGTAGGGCATCCTCAGTCTTGCGGCCTTTCGAGGAAGCTCGGATCGGACCGCACGCGACTTTCAAACTTTTTCCACCACTCTTCAAATGCCTTGAGCGGGACGACTTCGACGCCCCCGGGGCCGGCCGTGCCGCTAAAGCTCGCAAGGAAGTTGAAGGCGTTTTTGATGATGTTCTGCGCCAGAAGCTGCGTGGACGGCTGGGAAGAAGCGTTGGAGGAGGAGGAGGCCTTGTTGGCGGAGATCTCTTGGATACGGGAGAAGACGGACTCGGCGGGCTCGACCGAGACGCCAATCATGACGCTGGGGTCACCGCCGTTGTTGGTATTGCTGCCGGCGTTGAGTTTAAAGGTTGCGCTTTCCTTGCCGGTGCCGATGCCGCCGAGGAACTTGAAGTTTGGCGTCTGGCCCGTTGCAGTGGCGGCGGCGACGTCGGCGGCCGTGGCAAAGTAGATTGCGGCGGCGGTGTCGGGCGGCAGGACGATGCCCGGGAGGAGCATGACTGTGATGTGGGAGAAGGGTCTGGCGGCGGAGACGGAGTAGAGGAAGGAGGTTTCCGAGGGCGCCGATGTTGGGTCCGTCAGCAGGGGCTGGCCGGCTGGGACGATGCCGAAGAGAGGGCCGGACATGGTGGTGGATGTAGAGGTAGAGTGCCTTCAGAGCTGGCTTGGACGGTGTGAATGGCCTTCTAATGTCGTCTCACGAACGATCTGAAAAGATTGATTGAAGAGGGTGAGACGGCCTCTGGAAGCCTTGGAGCAAACAGCCTGTTGGCTGTATACAAAGAGATGAGCTTCGAAAGTGAAGGATCACAAATGTACGTATTCACAAAGAGGAGCTTCTCTGAGGGAGAATAAGTCCTTGGCTTCAGTGCTTGAAGACTCTACGAGAATGAGGCTGACGATGAAGTGAGAGGCACCGGGTCAAGTACAATTATTGTTGTATTGCAAGGTGGGGGGAGGGGCAGCTGCATTAGGTTGTGGAGGAAGCCTCGAGACGATGGGAGAAGCCTCGATGACACTAGCCAATCATATGCTTGTATCGGATCCGCTACCTACTCAGTTGATGAATGTACCTCACTCTGTACTTGCCGTTGAGAAGTCCGACTCGGGAGGTCCAAAGTTTTGATGCTGGTTCTTGTTGCTGGACACACGTCACTTCCGGCATCGGGGTCAGACTTATATGCATATCGACGTCGTTTCGAGGTTCGGCAGCACCTAACTCTAGACAACGCCTACCTCGCATCTTTCAAAACACACAGTAACTTATGCTACGATCGTTGTTCATTCCCGGCCGCATTATCACTCAGTTGCTTCTCAAGACGACCAAGAGAACATACTCCGACAAAATGAAGTCCTTTACCAACATTGATCTCATCGACCTGGTCGACTCGTGAGAAACACTAGCACTGGGCATATTGCACCCCGAGACTAGGCCCCCGCAGCTGACCGGCGATGCAGGTATCCGTACAAGCAGCCCAAGGACAACGCACCCCATGCAGAGACCTTTGGGTCTGTGTACACTCTCATTTGCAAAGACGAGCATGGCGACGTGCCTCTCGGATACGTCCTGCCAAGGGTGGTGGAGGAGCTGCTCAAGGTACCCGACAGCATCAAGGGGGAAGTCCAAGTCGACTCGGAGAAGCGCACTCTCAGAGCCTTTCAAGGGCCGACGTTAGAGAGCCGCAGCAGGCTGGCGGCGGACCTCTCCGACTACTGGAGAGCCAACGACACCTTCCCCATCCTCCGGGGTTGGCGCGACGAGCTGTGGCCCGTGTACGGCCGCAATGGCGAGCTCCTCTTCGACATTGAGAGGGCCGCCTCAGGGCTATTCGGTGTTATGAGATACGGCGTTCACTTGACGGCCTTTGTGCGTGACCCGTCAGCGAGTCACGGCATCAAGATCTGGGTCCCGCGTCGCTCTCCGACCAAGTCGACCTTCCCCGGCATGCTGGACAATACCGTCGCCGGCGGACTTATGACGGGAGAAGACCCCTTTGAGTGTGTCATCCGCGAGGCAGACGAGGAAGCCAGCCTGCCGGAAGAGATTGTTCGCCATCAGACCAAGTTTGTTGGCGGTGTCACGTACATTTACATCACCGAGGCAGAGGCGGGTGAGGAAGGGCTGATCTATCCCGAAGTTCAATGGATTTATGATCTCGAACTACCCGCAGACGTTGTGCCGCAGCCAAAGGACGGCGAAGTCGCCGAGTTCAGTCTGAGTACGGTCGAGCAGGTCCGCGAAGGACTCGCACAGGGCGTATGGAAGCCAAACTGCGCGCTGGTGGCTCTCGACTTTTTTATCCGCCGGGGTATCTTGACTAGAGAGAACGAGCTCGAGTACGATCAGATTGTGCAAAGAATCCACCGGCGAATGCCGTTTCCTGGGCCGCACAACCAGGATCCGTCCCTAGGGGCTATCGATGCTTGAGCCAGGGGCAAAGTTTCGAGATCCGAGGGATATCATGAGCAGCCTAGCTTGCTCTTTCAGAAATTTTCCTGACGCCTTTAACTCCGTTGCCCATGCTCTTGCCATATAGGGCCATACGGCATCTGTACAGCCTTTTGTAGTGCCTCACTTTTATGCACGCCAGAATAGAGCGAGTAAGCGTTGAGACTCCCATTGCGACAAGTTACAGTGTCTTTTCAATCATTTCTTGATAAGCAGGTAGACGTAGTCAACTCTCAGCGGGGTCAGCTTCTTGTAGGGGCCTTCGAGGGACATCAAGAGGCCTCCGAACGAGACGTAGGCCTTGCTATAATCACAGCACAGTCAGCTTCTACGCGGCGCAATCAATTCAATGCGGGAACACGAACATAGTTTGACCGTCGTCGGCATCTTCGAACTTGTAGATCTTGCCGTAGCAGACATAGTCGAACATGTCGGCCAAGGACGGCTCGCGGTCCTGGTTGCCCTTGGTCACGTCCCTCCATCCTTTCTCGTCGTCCTTGCTGCCATCGTGAGCCAGAGAGGTGGCAAGAACCACATGCAGGCTGTCGGAAACGGAGGCGGGGAACAGCTCAATATTGATGTCGAGAGTCATGAGCGTCTGGTTGTCGGTCGAGGTGGCCGAGATACGGGCGACTCTGTCGTACTTGGACTGGTCGTAGTTGGTGACCGTGAAGGACTCCTCGAAGAGAGTGACATCGCCGCTGCCAGACATGATTGCTGTATAATTCGGTGTGCTCTTCCGAGGCGAATGATACAAGTAGTTGGCGGTGTTGTCGTCGGGCCGTGCGAGAAAGATATCAAGGTCTTTCGTTCGGAGGCGCAAAGGCTTGAAGATCGTGAGCGACGGCAAGTGGATTTGAAGTTGCGGCGAGTGAAGCTACGGCTGGGAAGGTTAAAAAAAAATAAAAAAATCGAAGAGCGATTGAGTTAACCGGTGTAGTGTGCATCGGACGAGGGGCGCGTCGGGTTAGGCGGGTTAGGAAGCATAATCAGGTACATGACTGCGATCAGTGGGGCTTGAATTTTTACAAGGTACCTAAGGTAAGTGCAAAAACCAACCCCCACCTGCCCTCTTCAGTGGAGGGGGACTGAACCTGTGTCTGATGTTACTAATTACTTCCCTTACTTAGCAACACTTCCACGGCGCTCTCAACTATATCCAGGTCACGTATATGAGTGCATAAAGTGTCGTTCTCACTGAAGTGCTGGTGAGTAGTTTATCCCAGTGGTGCAGTATCAGAAGTGACATTTGGATTGTTATCTTACACATACTGCCAATGAGTCAACATCGGAATTACTTCCACATTCGTGAGAATTTCATGTAATTGATTTGGTCATTATTTCTCTGACACAACGACAGGTGCAAAAGGCTCAACCACTTGCAAATCAAGAATCTTCTTAGCACTGCAGTTTTTGAAGCAGGATTTTTCGAGAATTCGCATTTCAGTGTCTCGAGCACACCTGGCACCATGTCGTTCAGGAAGAAGAATGTCGTCTTGGGACCATCCGCCAGAGGCCCTTTGAGAGAATCCATAGCTCCGAAGCAGGAGGCTCTACCACCGGCGGGAACTCGTTCATCACCCCTTGACGGCCGTCTTACAACCTCCACCGGAACGGCATCACTGGACCAGCTGCTGGCAGGACATGCAGGGCTACCGCTTGGCTACAGTATTCTGATAGAGGAGTCCGGAACGACAGACTTCTCGGGCGTGCTCCTCAGATATTATGCCGCCGAGGGCCTCGTGCAGGGCCAACAAGTACACGTACTTGGCCCAACGGATGCGTGGAGAGGAGAGCTTCCAGGACTTGGCAAAGCCAGTGGCTCAAGTAAGAAGAAAACGGCGTCGGCGTCAGAAGAGAAGATGAAAATCGCATGGAGATATGAGAGCCTTGGCAACAATGCCGGTCCGAGTACGTTTCTCCCGAACCGCATGGAACATGAAATGGCGACGGACACTGACCTAAGATGAACAATTCTCCAGGGACGAACAATAATAGTCCAACAGGGGCTGCTGAAGTTTTCTGTCACTCCTTTGACCTTGGAAAACGCCTCCAGCCTAGTGAAATCAAGGGCGAACTGCATGCAACCCCATCAACTGCTGCCATGACCTGGCTCCAACCATCGGGACCCGGCAACTCTTCCCCTTTAGACACATTTATCAGCAACGTCTCAGCAAAGCTGAAGGCAACGCCGCCCGGTACTGTTCATCGTATTGTAGTGCCGAGCCTTCTGTCGCCCGCACTCTACGGTTCCTCGGTCTGCCGGCCGGCGGATGCCCTGCAGTTTTTGCACAAACTGAGAGCACTGCTGCGCCAGCACGAAGGGATTCTGACGGCCATGATCTCACTTTCTACCTCGCTATTCCCGCGGTCGACAGGGTTTACACGATGGATGGAGTTATTGTGTGATGGTGTGCTGGAGATGCTGCCCCTTCCGAGAAAAGTGCACGTCGAGCCGAATACCAAGTCAGAAGACGTCGTGCAAGGTATGCTCAAGGTGCATAGCCTCCCTGTATACCACGAGAGGGGAGGAGGAATAGAGGGCCAGTCTTCGCGGGAAGACCTTTCCTTTAGAATGAGCAGCTCAAGTGGGCTCATTGTGAAGCCTTATGTTCTCCCGCCTTTGTTGGACGAAGGGGATGGGGGCCACGGAGCCAAGGCAGAGGGGAAGAAGGGGGAGAAGCTAGACTTTTGAGTATTCAACGGGATGCATGACTGGTTGGGTTGAGCGTATAACACTAAGAGGCCGACTGAACCCATCAACGATCCAGCATGCCCGACAGTGGATGCCCTGGTGAACTACACAAAGGGTCGCCTACCCGTCACTCAGGGGCTTGATCGTCGAATTAGTAGTTACCCTAAAATATTTATTGCCAGAGGAATGCGATGATATGGCAAAAGTATATAGGAAATGTCGAATTGTTTAAATAAACGCGGGTTATGGCAAATTGCAAGTCCATAGGCATCTACAAAACCTAGCTAAGTTAGGTAGGTCGACGTTGAAGAGTGCAAACGCACAGCCACAGCGCCACGCTACCCAGCCCGGGCATACTTTAAAGAGTCAGAGGGGTTCTGCCTCACCGCCCGACTCCACCACTGTCAGCTCCATAAACCTCAATCCCTCGAATTTTTCCAGCTAAATCTCTCTTTTGACTCCGACAACCACACGCCAGGGTAAGTTTTATGAATTTCCTCCTATTTTTCAACCCCTCCCAAAGCTCAATGATTAAACAACCCAATCTCAATCAATCTGTCAATCCACTGACACTCTGTGACGAAACTATCATTTTAACGAGATATGATTTTGTGGCTTTCAGCACTGTTACTAGCGTTTTGCATTCAAACTCTTCAAGCAGTCGCTAACATTCTTCTCTCAGATACAAGGAAAGCAAGGCCGACCCAAAAAGGTCCGAGGCAAGAACAATGGCAGCACCGTTGGAAGATCCTTCGGTCCCTCCCGTGCGCATCTCCAAGATTGCAGATCGCTACCTCGTCTTCGATGCAGAAGATGTAGCCACCATCAGGCGCAGCCACAACATCTGCTCCGTCCTGGTGGGAACGACCCCGCAGAACCCAACACAGAACGTGTTTCTCAGTCTGCCGCTGGAGTTGCTGCCCGAGGAGGCCAGCGTGCTCGTCGAGAACAAGGTAGGCCGCCTCGTCGAAGAGGCTTCGCATCACCTGTCGTCCCTACGCTCCCCGGACAAGGCCACCCGCCAGGCCTACATTGCATTGTTGAAAGAACGTCGCAGCAAGGCGCAGAAGCTGCTGGTAGAGGACCAGGCCAAGAAGGCAGCCACAGAACAGACGCGGAGGAACAAGGGCGCCAAGTTGGCTGCGGCTCAGCCAAAAGCCAGTCCCGAGGTGGATGATTCTCTGTTTGGAGGTGCTGTTCCAGACAAGAGCTCGAAACCCCGCGATGGCGTGGATGCCAAGCCGTCCCTGGCGGTGACGCCGACAACTAGCGAAGGTCTCCTCGTGCCTTTGGGTGAGATTGAGAAAACAGTGCCTCAACCTCTCGCTGGGCCGTTGCATCGACACTTGCAGTCTAGAGGATATTTCATGACTCCTGGTTTACGTTTTGGCGCCGATTACAGTGTTTACCCGGGTGATCCATTGCGGTATCACGCCCACTTCCTCGCTACAAACTACGATTGGGATGAAAAGATACCGATGCTTGATATCGTTGGCAGTGGTCGTCTGGGTACTTCAGTGAAGAAGGGCTTTTTGTTTGGCGGAGAGGTTCCCGGCGTCGACGGTGATCCTAAGCAAGTGCGCGCATTTTGCGTTGAATGGGCAGGAATGTGAGCTGGAAATTGGGCCACACGCCTGAATAAAGGTGACGCTCAACGCTACGCCTAGATAACCTATGTAATACCAACAAGATACCCCTATTTCGTGTACCTCAATGATGCGACCATGCTACAAACCGCCCCCAAACGCCAAAATTATCTCAGTGTTCTGATATCCCATCGTAGCAAAGTACAAGCGTCGTTCGAAGACGCCCTGCCATTATCAACTTAATCTTAGGGCACGTAGATCCTGCTGAAGCTGATGACCTCCCGACGACAACACACACATTTGTCAAAGTTGTTCATAGCAAGTGACACTCGGCAGTCGTCGCAAAGACTCAAGCACCGGCAGGGCCAGACTATGATGGTCCGGGGAGAACTCTGACAGACGACACACTGCGGACCGTCCGGACCAAGACCAGCCGCTCCTTCTGCCCATGTCGACGTTCCGCGCTCCACGGAAGTCGAGAACTGAGAGCGCCGGGATAGCAGCAATTGCTCCAAGCGTTGAGTCTCCTCGTCTGGTGTCATCTTGACCGGCCGCGTTGTGACATGATTGGACTGCCCGTTTGGCTGCAGTATCTGAGTTCGCTGTAACTGCCGTGACCTGAGATACTGTGATCGTGTCACGATTCTGTCGCTACTCAGATGCGCGGCCAACGCATGCGCCTCTTCCCTCTCTTCAGGGTTGCTAGGGTGTAGCAGGCGTGCCAGATCTGACAGCTGTAATGAATCCTCCGGGACTGGAGTCTGCTCGCGCGAAGCCCATGACCTAGACTGCGTGGGCGTTCTCTGCCCAGCGTCTTCCGACTCCCAATCGCTGTCGCCGTTAGTGCTGAAAGAAACGACGCTCGTCGTATCGTCATCATCATGTGCTGCCGCCGGTTGGTACTCTCCGCTGTTGTCTGCCGAACCCCACCATCCACCCTTCAGCCACCAGCCGTACAACTTCGAATCAAGATCGGCCTCGTCCATGGGAGCCCAGTTCTGGTTTCCCCTCCATACTTGCTGTCGGAACTCGGATTCAACATCGACGCTGTCGGTCAGTGGGATGTTCATGGGTGACTCGGCGGGACCTGCAGGTGCTTCAGAACGGCCGGCACTGTCCTTAGAATTCGAGTTCCTCAAGTCGGTGGCAGCTTTGGGTCGGCGAACGATCCAGAGGAGGAGCCTCGGGTGCCGTAAGCCAATCTTGGAAAGTATTTTCAGCATAGTGGTAGCCCACGTCCGGAAGATCAGTCTGTTGATGTTCATGATGAAGTCCAGTGCCATCAACCATCGGCCACTCCGCTCCGCAGCGCCAACGCCGTCCCGCAGTCTTCGCTCCCCAGACCGTGATTTGGGCACCTTTTGAGCCGCTCGTTCGCGAGCGTATCCGTTCTTGGACAACATGTGGTCGTCTTTGACCGGCACTAGGCCAATGGTGCCTATGGTATCATAGTGAGAGTCGGGTGCGCCGGCTCCAATCCACTGGTTTCGTAACTCCTCAAGTTCGCGGTACCTCTCTTCCTCGAGCCACGTGTGTGGTCTCATTGTGACGTCTCTGTCTTCGTTCAGGTAGACGGCTTCGCTTGCCATGGTAATAGCCCCAAAGCCGGTCCGAAGCAAAGCGGTGTAAAAGTCCATTTCCATAGTGATCCGAATGTCTGATAGAGAGAGGTTGGCTTGCATGTTGGCGTGAGCTTGCGCCAGCCGCTCGCGAAGGCTCAGCCTCTGTCCTGATTGTCCCTCTGTTGGCGTGAGAGCCGCCAGACCGAGAGCGAGCAGGTAGATGAAGAAACAGACCAGAATGCCACCTAACACGAGAACATGAGGGATGAAGCCGATGATGCAGACTGTCGGAAATCTGAGCAGGCCTTGCTTCGCAGGATCGTCCAAGGAGAATGTGAAAGCACTCCAAAGAATGCTTGCCATGAAACATAGGCCCCAGAATCCGGTGCTGACGAGTCGGAATCTAGCTTGCAGGTTGAAGATGCCTAGCAAATGGCTGGTAATGTGGCTCATGGTTGAAAGAAAGGCAACGAGTAGAACCTCGGGTGAGGTGTTGACCCTTCTGAGAATCATGGAGCGACTGATGGCTATGCTGCTGGCGCTTGTCGAAGCAGCATCTGCCACTTGAGATTGGGTAAATAAGCCCCAGCCAAGTTGGTTGCTGATGGCAGCATCCGCCTCAGCAAAGGCCAGGGAGTGTTCGAAAAGTGTCATACCCGTCTCGGCTGCTACGGGTCGGCCCTGCACAGCACACGATACAGTCTCCAGGAATTGACTGAAACAAAACGTTCCGAATAGCGGCCACAACAGAGACAGAGATCCCCTCATGTCCTGCGTCGCGTCATTTGTATCCGTTGGAATCATGCTTACAGCTGTACAGGACGCTTCGTCTGAAGCCCCCAACAACAGTGCTGAACTCATGGTATGGAGGAGACCGCCGGCTTGTGAGAACATGAGCTCGGAGCTCTTGCTTGTATTTCCCCAGCGCATTTCGGCAAAGTCGGGAGATGTTTGGCACTGGATTGACCGCAATAGGCCGCGCGCTTGTACCAAGAATAGAAGAACGGGAAGGCCACGCAAGGCCAGTCGAATCGGCAGAGTGAGTCGCAAGCGACGGCGGGTAGCTGCGAAAATGTGCGTGCGGTTGAGGACGATTGCCATGGCGATACAGCAAAGCGCCCACTTGCTCGTTGCATAGCTGAAGACACTACCTAGGCCTCTTGCGCCCTCCATGGTGAACTTTGGGGAGGCCAAGACAGCATCTGGATCAGCGGGAACAGCAGGCCCAGTTCCGGGAAGGTGGCCTATGGGAGGAGGTATATTCATGTCGAAGGCAGCGGTCGTGGCCGCGTCGGTAGTACGTAGGACGCCGGGTCCCGTTGCTTCTGGAATGACTCTCTCGAGGGAGTCGGGGATGGGAAGATAGGCCGTGAGCTTTCGCACCATCCTCGGGCCAGCCCATACCAGGTCTTCGAAGGAAGGAGCAAGCTTGGTAATGTTTACGGCGTATTGAACCTGGTGAGTGGTCCACAGCGAGAGGTTCTGCCACACCCCTGTATTTTCCAGAGTAGGAGGTGGATGCAGATTGTCCATGGTCACCAGGAAAAGATTGGTTATCAGACCAGATTATAAAAAGACAGCGGCAGCAGCCTTATCGCTCGGGGCGGCTGGAAGTGTCGCGGTTCGGATCATGGGCAGTGACGTCGGATGCGGGAGAACATTATGCGGACAGCAGGCACGAGGAGGTGTTCGGCTGACAGGGTCTCCAACAAGGTAGCTGAGAACGGCCAATGTCAGGAACGGTCGTCGACTAGGTAGGTGGTCGTCGATGGTATCTCGCGGACGATCGGGGCCCAAGGTCGGTCGAAGATGGCTCGTCAAGAGGGAAAGGACGGTGGGGGTGTAGAGATGGATAAGGACGGAAGCTCGGATGGGATGGAGGGATGTTGTCGCATGCCCGCGAAGCTCACTGATCGCTCCAGGTCTCTCCACTCCTTAGCGCCGTTCTCTGACGGACAATAGCGAGCCCAGAGCACCGAGAAGCTGGAAGCCGGGGTCCGAGTGCTTACGAGAGACGGCTATGGGCTTCCTCAGCGCGACGACTGCGCTGCCGAGGTTGGGGTAAAGTGGGTACCTGACAAGCATCCATGCTCAACCTTGAAGGTATCATCAATAACCTGGAAGGTCTACACGGACTAAACTTCCAGGGAGTGCCGCTACGAGGTCCTTTCCTTGCCAGGCAGACGTCTCAATACAAAGCAAGGCGGTCGGATTGAAGTGAGCTGAAACAAGAACAGGCAACGGCCATAAGCAAAACTTTTCGGGATAATCTGTATGGCATTCACGGCTCACTTGCTCGTTTCTCAGAAGGCACATCATGATGAGGGAAGTCCTATTGCCTCCCAGTCTACCATCGAATGAACAGACTTTTCCAAGTCTTGCTAACCATGTTTGTCTGACGGGGATACAACATTTTGGTGGGCTGCACATAGCATTTTACCCTTCGCTTTGCTCGAATGAAGCTCTCAATGTTTCTTCATACATGGGGCTGGTATCTTCTGCCGATTTGGCCACAACGCCTGATATAACAGGATGTTCTCGACACAGTCCACCTTGTGATCACCGGTCACGAGTATGGCTATGTGTAGAGGGCTCGGCGACCGTCATTGATCTGACAATTCTGCATGAGCTCCCCAAGGTGATCTTGCTTTCGCCTGCCAGCCTGCCAAGATCTTCATCCTCCTTCGTGATCACTCGAGTGTGAATCACCCGATAAAATATGCCGAGCTGATGCATGACAACGCATGCCGAAGTTTTCGACTTCCAGAGGCACCATGAAGCCATGCTCGATTGTGTCTCCTTTTCGAAGGCGCGACAAATCAACGCCGTGTTGTCGAACTAGGGCTGCATAACCCCGCTAGGTAATTTACCGCCGTAGTCTTGTTGTTTAACTACTGGGCGGTTGGTTGCTTTCGAGCCTCTCGAGAACGGCGCGGTAGTTGCCCTTGGATGCTTGAATAGCGCGACCCATGAGTTTCGTATGGAGCAAGGGGTCTAACGGCGAGAGCTGACCCTTCACCCAGAGGTTGGTGATCTCCGCGCGACAAGGGAGGTAAGCCACACAGCAAGCGGCAAGTATTTTGTCGTGTTCCAGCGAAACGGGATCCAAGACAATAGACAGCGCGTCTGCATCTGTGGTGTCTTGTTCGTTTGAAGAGACAAGAGCTGCAACACCGCCGGTAACCATGTCGACGCAATCGATGCCGGCATCAGCGAGAGCCGCCGCGGCAACAGTGATGCAACCACTGAGGACGTTCATCATATCCCACTCTTCGTTGCCTTGAGAGTGAGACGCCTCTCGCTCTTGGTCGCCTTCAATGATGGTAACAATCACATCGACGCCACTCTTTGGCCATCTATCCGCAATAATCACCCCGCGCAGGGCCGTGTCGAGATGAACGCTGAGATCTCTCTCACTCGAGTCACGAAGGTAGCCTCGACGTCGACGTGTGGCGAAAGGAGCGTATTTGACATGAGTTGAGAGCACCAAGTAAGGCGAGAAGGGTGCGGATCGAGGAAGCGAACGAGGCCCATGGACAGTGCAGATGAGCT